AATTTTGCAAAGTTCATACGTGATGAGAAAAATATAACATGGGATTTCCCATAAGGATTTGGCCAAAACTGACGAAAAATGGCAAAATTCGCACCACTCGCGGGAGGGCCCATATTTTGCACTGTAATTTGTAATTAATTTATAATTTGTATTTTGTAATTAGTGAGAATATTGAACCTCAAGTTTCATTTAACAAACTTTTTGATAACTTCGGTATTGGATAATTTGTAATTTATTTTACTCGTTTTATCGGTTATGATTTGGAATACAATGGATTTTAACTGTTGATGGTTACTCTATAGCTGCTTTATGATGTGTTTTTTTGTTTTTATATAGTTAGTTACATATTTGTTTATTTTTTACGTTCACTCTAAGAAATGGCTTTAACATATTTTTGGGTTAAAAACTGGTCAATCTTGGTCGAGGTAAAGTCAATCCGTGGTGGAGTAAAATTCATAACCCTAAATCATATTGCATACAAAATAACCTTGATATTACCGCTACATTGCTAGATTGGTTTTTCCGTTGTAACACGTTAAGTTAGAGCAGGTCTGGATGGGTTATTTACCCATCCTCCCCCCAAGCAGCCCATATAGCACAGCGGTCTTCGCGGCAAGCCTCCAAGTTTTGGGGTCGTGGGTTCGAACCCCTGTTGGGGAATTTATCCTCGTTTGCATTTTTCTTGATTTTGTAGACCTTTTTTTAGTGGGGGTTCCATAACTTTGACATATGATGACCTGGTGACTATGTGCACCGAAACCGAATTATCCTAATATTTTACACCAGTTCATTTTATTTTGGCATTCAAATTATTAAATTTGGATAGTTGAATGATTTTCACGCCAAACTAAAATAAACTACTGTTAAATAATAGGATAATTCGGATGACTCGGCTAATTTATTTCGATTATATTAGTACCGGTAATACAGGTAAAAGCCACCAATTTACTCGTGGGCGTATAGCCATAACCTCATAAGGAGTTATGGTTATCTAGCTCGAGTAAAACGTAGAGCGGGTATTTTCCGCAAGCCAGACCACGCCGCCTGTTCAGCCTTCAAGTACGTCCCCTGCTGCTGGAGGACTTTGGAGAAAATACTTTGTTAATTATTTTAACTCTTCAATTATTTGAAATTTATCGACATGAGTCAAACGGATAGAGTTCTCATTCAGTGTGGATTGGCTGAATATGTATATCACTAAATTTGAAGGTAAGACAACTACCCTTTTTACTTTAGTTATTTGTCAAACCATAATCAATGTTTGTAGTTTAAATAATTTTAAGTAGTTTTTTCTTTCAGAGCTTCATATTACTGATGAAGATTTACTGGAACAAAGTAGGAAATTCTTATTTCCAGCATTGGACACAGGACAAAGTTCAACGTAATTAAATTACCAAAAACTAAATTAGCGCCGGCTCGGTATATATATCTGTCAAGTGTATTGCCAAATTTAAAAATCTTAACAGTTTCTCCAAGCATATAATCGATTCTCACGAGTTAAAGACACATAGTGAGTGTACGTCCACCCTGTAAGGCTGTCATCATGTAATTAATTTGTTTGTTTATTCCTATTTTATATGGTTCGCCAAAAGTCCACAAGCCAAACATACCTCTGAGGCCAATAATTGACTATCGAAATACCACATTCCACAACCTTGCAAATTTCTTAAAAGCTCCATTGCAAACACTCACAAAGAAGCATGAATATTCACTAACAAACTCATATCAATTTATTGACGATTTGAAACCTAAAACCATTGGAAGAGGAGAAATCATGGTATCGTTTGATGTGGTGTCAATGTTCACAAAAGTCCCAATCCAGGAAACCTTGAACTTCATAGAGCACAGATTGCGAACAACTAATGAATGGAAAAAGACAACAAAACTTGAAGTCGAGGATCTCATGGATCTACTTAAAATATGCGCTGAAAATACATATTTCACTTGGAGAGGAGGCCTATTTAAGCAAACAGAAGGATCACCAATGGGGTCGCCGATCTCTGCCATTTTTGCTGAATTGTTTATGGAATTTTTAGAAGAATCACTTATCAAGCATAATTCAGATATCAAATTCTGGAGACGTTTTGTTGATGATACGTTTTCCATAATTAAAAGCCGGAAAGCAAAACAAATCCTCAAAAAATTAAACAATTTCCATCCTAATATCAAATTCACAATGGAACAAGAAATTAATAATTCACTCCCTTTCCTGGATGTTTTGATTCACAAGAAAGAAGATGGAACACTAACGCATAAAATATACCGAAAGCCAACGCACACAAATCAATATCTTCATTTTGAGTCATATCACCACCCGAGTCAAAAAATTGCTGTCATCGACACTTTGACCACAAGAGCTTTAAGATTATGTGACACTGAATCTGTCAAAGATGAACTAAACTTTGTAGAAAACATTTTAAAACAAAATCATTATCCTATCAAGACCGTCAAGGGAAGAATTGAACAGTTGAAACAGAGAACCCCACAAAACAGACATAACCAACAACTTGAAAAATGGATCGCGTTACCCTATACCGGAAGCATGAGCAAACGACTTTCTAAATTATTACGCAATAACGTACAAGTAAACATTGGATACTACACTGGAACCAAATTATCATCATTATTATACAATTTTAAAGATAAACGAGAAAAGGTAAATAGTGGTATTTACAAAATTAAATGTAAACAATGTCCCCAAGTTTACATAGGAGAATCGGAACGGAATATTAACAAACGCTTAGAAGAACACGAGTCACATATTAGGAACAATCGAACAAATCTATCTGCAGTCGCCCAACATATGGCAGACAACCCGGGTCATGAGATTGATAAGGCCTCGTTTGGACTACTTGAACGAGAAACCCGTTACTTTCATCGCAAAATAAAGGAATCACTATACATCAAAAAATTTCCTCATACCATGAACAACAGAGATGGCAAAAAAGTGAACCCCATTTGGATCCCTACCATCCTACCACTTATGAAGATCCCATAATTACAAAGGAAAATATTATTATTACATATATTACAAAAATTTGTAGACCCCGTTTTTTGCAAATTATATTTCGGCAACCCTGATGAAGACAATGTACAATTGTTGAAAGCTTGGTTCTAATAAACAAAACTATTTAGTTTTGAACATCAAGTCCTCATACCGTAAATCACTACAACATAATTAATTTGTGTTTAAAAGCTATCATTATTATAAATTTAAATAAATTAAATATTCAAATAAATAATTTAAAAATCTTGATTTATTTTCATTTGGCGCAGCTGACATTGCAACTCATAAAAATGTAACAGTAACCCTACCCGTGTTAAGAGTGGTGCAGCGTTTTGCATGGTATATTGTGAACAATGTTTTTGGATTTCCCGTGACTGGTGCGAGTGGGCACGATTTATACTCTATGGTCTTCGAGAACCGAAAAAAATACGAGGATTTTTTTTACGAAATTTGCGATAAATGTCGTAAATCAAAGAAATTTGTCATGTGTGATATTGCAAGATTAGTTGTTCTACAATAGCTTGTGTAGCAGTATTCAATATTTTATTTGCAGCGGAACTTCCGCTGCGGAAGACACGAAGCTCAACATTATCCTCTTCAATTAGATGAGTTTCGAGCTGCATATCTACATAGTGACCGCACACTGGGACAGGTTGAGATTGGCCAACTGTGCTGTTCGTAGATGCGAGCTAAACTACTCGTCTAAAATAAATCACCCTTATGCATAGAAGAATTCCTTGTCGTCCTGTGCCTCAGTGGGCCTGTGGTCTCCTAAGTCATCTCCAAGCGGCAGGAACGCCTTATTGGAACACCTCTGTCCCACAAGCTCTCGAACTTTTGGAAAAGGCTCGATCCGAGGAAGGAATTGACATTACAGTTGACATGTATCCGTACCTGGCCGGCAGCTCCACGATTTTGCAACTTCTTCCCCCCTCCTCAATGTCCGGTGGATTTGATGAGTTGATGTGAAATATGCAAAATGCGACGTATCTCGAATACCTCAAGACCATGACGGAAGGGGGACGAGAACCTGGCTGGGAGAGTAAAGTTGCCCTAATTGGCTATGACAATATCATGATTGGGTCAGTCGTCAATCAGAATCTGACCAAATTTGAGGTTTGGTGTGGAATTATAAATGCCGGGAAATCAGTTAACGAGATTCGAATGGTGGATCAAGACGAGGGATTAATTGGAGAAAATGTGCTTCCAGGTGGTGAAGTGATCACCATTCAGGACAGTGCACTAAGCGAAATGGACTGTTAATTTTGGCCAAAAGTCCTGAAGGGTTTCTTTAATGATATTTTTGCATATGCCGAGCCGTCATGGCCTCAGAATACGATAATAAAAAAATTGAGGAGCCACACCCACTTTGGGTGTAGCTTTTTCATATTGGTTGTAGGGCCAATTGCCATACCGGAAACTGTTGCCCATGCGATTCTATACGTACAGTAAAATTTTCATCGAAATCCGTCTACTGGGTCTCGAGATATTTGCTCGGAAACCTCGGCGAAAGGCAAAAATCCACTACTTTGGGGGTGTGGTGCTCCGAATGGGGCAAATGAAGAAATTCGAAAATATGTCCAGCTGTTGAGACCATCAATGGCTATGAACTCCAATTTAAACGGAGCGATCGCATCCGCCCCTTTCCAAGATATCACCAAGGGAACATTGGGAACAATTATGGCGAAATTGTCCAAAACTAACGAAATTCATCATGTCGCAGAGCAGTAAAAATTGATATCTAGCTTCTGCTAAACCAAAATAAAATGTTTCAAGTGAAATTCGCCCATGTCGTTGGTAGATGGCGTCAACGTGTCGAAATTTCGACATTGGCCTACAGCGATGAAATTTAAAACTTGTTTTACCCAAAACTTCAAAAGAAATGTTCTAACATTTTTTTTCACGTCGACATCCATTTATCACGATTGGAATGTTTAAATTTAAAACAAATGCCTCATGTTTTACAACTATAAACACGTGCTCAACGCGAAAATTTCATTTTTAAATTCCAGTCATTTTTAATACAAACATTTCCCTCCATGATTCAGTAATACAGATTTGAAGCCAACATTTTAGAATCTAAACTATATAAAGCAGGCGAGTGTATCGCTGCTGGCTGGCTGGCTGGGTCGGTGGCTTAGTTGAGAAGTTAGCCTCTCCTTTTTCTCGCTCCACTCTGCAGAGGCAACAGGAGAGGCTAACTTCACTAATGTTGGGGCAACGGGCTTATCGACGCCTCGACGGGCCTATTTTGCACGTCGATTGACGGGCTTCTACACTAGTACAACAATAAAATCGTAACAATTTTTGTGCATTAAATATTTAACTTTAATTTGGTCTGCACAAATTAAATAAATTTAAATGATAACCTACTAATATATTTATATTAATTAAGCATGTTCGTAATACACCCTAAATCACATCCGTTCAGATAAAAGCCTCTTCCTTGCTTATGTTGGTCATCACGTCATTAAAACAATCAAATTATTTAGATAGTCGTTAAAATCGTTTAGATTTAGTCTGACGGGAGTGTGTCATAGTTTTGCTTAAACAAAATCCACTCTTGCCTAGTTTTGATAGACTTGGGACCCCAGTCATTAGTTGGTTGAAAGGATTCTTTAATTTTCTGTTATCAAATTCAGATAAGTGGGTTAAATAATTGTTAACTGGGGTGAATGTGAAAGTGAAAGTAAACTTTAATTGTTTTACCCCCCACAACGTCGGAGCTTTTCTACTCGCAATTCCATGCATTGCCCAACAGGGTATTAATAACAACGCTATTGCAGCCAAACTCCATCCACAAGCTGAGAAATAATTGAGAAGTAAGTTAGTGCATCCAGCTAGACTTTCACATTCACTTTGTTACCTATTGCGACCGCTGGGAATTTTGCCCCATTATGGGTTAGCTCATGAGACTCGACAAAGGAATAAATTAATATGGTCGATAGTCCGATTGGTATAAAAAATCTGTAAGTGTAATTGTTTTGAGAATTTAAATTTGCGAGTATGTATTTTCATTTGAGGCGTAATACAACTTTTTTTTATTTTTTTACCCCCAGCAAAATTTCCAATAAAATCCTAGCTTGATTCCGAGCATGAACTCGACATCTCGACAAAAATTTGTGAGACCGTAGACCCAGGCCACCGCTGCAACTTCTACAATTGCCATTACATAGATTACAAAATTTGCTCCGAAATGGTCAACCAGTGTGAGCATGAATTGTCCGCCCTTAATATGGAAATGTTAATTTAGCCAACCAATTCGTTTGAATAACTATATGAAGATTGACTTGTACTATCAACTCACGGATCTCGATGTCCTGTGGATATGTTATAGTGTCCCAGGAATTAACAGCAACCCCCAAGTGCTTTAAATGCCGCACCCACTCAAAGGTGCCCAAAAAACGGAGAAAGCAGCGCTTTCACTTTTTCAAATCCACGCAAAAAATCCAATTTTACTCAGAATTTGAAAATCCGTGCACCTTAAATACTCCTAGATAGTTGTTTTCTTATATTCAACATCAAACTCAACGTTTTTGATGATTATTTTGCAGGCTCAATTTGCGTATTTATTACTACAACAATGGTCATTGAGAATTTTAAATTTTAAAACCTATCAGTACAGCTTTGCTTAGCCCGAACCAGGTTTAGTAAACCCATGTTTCTCAGTAGTTTTCTATAAAATTATGTGCTACTATTTTACACTAATTTTTGCATTAACTTGCATCAATCTTTCGTACTACTAGGCTCCAAATTCTAAAAATATTTACTATCCATTGCCCTTGACTACTTCCCAGTGGGGGTCGCCTCTACAGCCCATATGGTTAATTTGTGTTCATATTTAACTTCGTATTATTTCATGAGAAAGCAGTAAGGATCTCTGGTCCAAATTTCAGCTTTCTATGTTAATTTCTAAAAATCGATATGGGTCACCCCATAGTAGTGCTCCGCATGAATCCGATTTTCCCCGGATTCGGATTCGTTCGAATCCGGATTCGAGCAGATCCGAATCTCTAGGAGAGGGATTCGGATTCGGATTCGAGTGGATCGAATCACGTAAAAGTAGGATTCGGATTCGGATTCGAGTGGATCGAATCACGTAAAAGTAGGATTCGGATTCGGATTCGTAAGGATTCGAATCCGATTCGTATCTGATTCACAACTTGCACAACTTAAACAAATCAATTAATCGGTTACAACAACCGTTTTTGTATTGTTTTCGTTACGTTGTTCAATACATAATTTATTATAAATTTGAAATTGGTGGAAGACTAAACAGTATTTCGGAAAATTTTAAGTTTCACATTTAGTCTCACATTTGATTTTCATCTCACCTCATAATATAAGGGTTTCGATCAGGGGTTAAATCTAGGTCTAATCGAACTTTTCCTATTCTGAGGTTGCTGGATAACATTTAAGATTTAAAAAGGGATGGAAGGTAGCACATACATATTTTTGGTATAAAACTATATTCAAAGTAAAAAATTTTCGACTGTGATATCAGCACTATATTTAACCAATTCTCTCGGTAATTGGTGCGAAAAAATCCTGCTCAAACCTTTACAAAGCATATTGACGTCAAGTGATTACGCAATTTCAACTTCGAATTGTTTAAGTTGTTTTGAGAGTTACTATAATACCAGCACTATCTTCAAGTAGTTATTTCGCTAATTATTATTAGTCGTTAGAATTTTTTTTGCTTTACAAAATTTTCCAACTTCAAAGTAATATCGGATACCACAAAGCATAATTGAAGATATGAAAAACACGGAAAAATGGGAGAAACTCTGTTTAGGGCAATCCGAAATAACTTCTTCAAAACCAAGGTTTTCAAAATTTAAAAAATGGTAACAAATGTTTCCCGATTATTTTCTTAACAAAAATAGAGCAATAATTGAGCAAATATTGTTTTGGACGGGAAAATCAAAACCCTGAATATAATACTCTGCCCATATTGCGCATTAACGATGGATTCGAATCCTGTGTTGGTCGGATTCGGATTCGTCCGAATCCGGATTCGAGCAGATCCGAATCCTGAAACGCCGGATTCGTGGTAGGATTCGAATGCACCGAATCCGCCAAATTTAGGATTCGGATTCGGATTCGGATTCGAGATTCGAATCTGAATCCGAATCCGGATTCGGATTCATGCGGAGCACTACCCCATAGGGTCGCTCTAGATTAAAATTATACCAATTTCATGTCATATTCTTGCATTAGGACCCATAAGCAACCTCTCCACCAAATTTCAGCTTGATATGCCGATTTTGAAAAATCAGTATGGGTCACCCCCTAGGGTCCCTCAAGATGAAAATTTTTCAACTTTAACTCATTTTTATCTATTAGGAGTCATTAGTAACCTCTGTGCCAAATTTCAGCTTTCTACGACAATTTTGAAATTTTGGTGCATAATACCCCACCCACTCCGATGACCCCCACCGGTCCAAAACTTTTTTGATCGAACCCATCTTCGAACTCGGTCGTTGCATTGCCCAGATGCATGTCTGTACCAAATTTGGTCCAAATCGGTCAACTCGTTCGAGAGTTATCGAAAGACAGACGGACGGACAGACGGACGGACATGATGATTACATAAGCCCTGGTTCGGGCTAAAAATACTAAATATTTCAAAAAGTTTGGTTTGATGTTGGATATAGGAAACGAAAACAACTATCTGGGAGAATAATGGTACACGGAATTTTCAAAATCAAAAGAGTAGAATTGGATTTTTGACGTGGATTTGAAAAAGTGAAAGCGCTACTTTCTCCGTTTTTTGGGTACCTTTGAGTGGGTGCGGCGAGCGTAAATGTGGCATTTAAAGCACTTGGGGGTTGCTGTTAATTCCTGGGACACTATAACATATCCAAAGGGCATCGAGATCCGTGAGTTGACGGCGTCTCCTCCTAATTGTCTAAGTACCGGTGTCACGTAAATCAACCCTGAACAGAATCCAGCAATGCATACAACTAAGGTCACCTGCCATCTCCCGAAATGTGGATATTGATCACAAATTATAGTGATAATTCCTCCTAATGTTTTAAACGCAGAAGATTATATTATTTAATTTAATTGACATTGGTTACTAGTAAGTATGTAGAGTGTAGATATGTAGATTAGGACCTGTTAACGACGTAGCACTTCCTACACCCAATGTAAACAACATTCCTGCAAAATAAAGATTTTGTCTCAGTTTCATGTCTTCAAGTCAAAAATCGTCGCATGTGGTATACCAAAAAAGAGGACGGCGAATAGCTGAAAATATATGAATACCATTGTTCATTAAAGTTAATTAAGGTCAAAATCTAAACAATGTCTGATAAGTAGTTTTTTTTTTTATTCCTAACCTGCGGAACCCATTGAAACTTGGATATGCTAAAGTAGACAAGAAACATTAAAGTAGACAAGAAACATTTAACTTTTCAAATACATTTTAAAATACAAAGTTAAACATATTTTAACAAAATAAAACGTACGCGTCAGGGTATGAGATGAAGGCAAGGCCAGGACCACTTTTTGCGACAACTGAGATATCCACGTCAAGTTCTGTCGCAAGGGAGCCCAAAATTGCACTACAAAAATTGCGAAAATTGTAAACTCACTAATCACACTAATTTTAAAATTGTGCCAATTACAAAATGGTGAATCCTGCTAGCAAACTGGTAAACGTGTCCATGAAACTGATTATCACTGCGTCACTGTAAAGTGAAATTAATAAAATTCCGATTAGAAAACTAAATAAAGCTAAGCGATTTAGTCAAATAATTCATAGGGAATTGCTGCTTACTTGTAAACGTTTCTAGTGAATGGATTATACTGGATTATAATGACGTTATGATTATAATGGATTATTATATTATTATAGATTAATTAATAATTTTTTTTACGGAAGAAAACATGATAATGGGCCCAAATGCAGTTGACAAGCTGAAGAAGCACTGTCCCACCGCACTATTAATCCATATAATTAACCCAATAATTTCCTTTTATCAAATGACATATTAACTTTTTAATTGCACTTACCTAAACCAAACCTATTTCAAAAATGAATTTTCATATTAATATTTTAACTTTCATGCAAATAAATATTCATGAAAACTTACACCGGGATCATAAATTTTGTCCCATTGTGGTGTGATGAAGTATAAAATGCCACTCCATGCGCCTAGTAATGAGGGTTGGGAATTGTTTATTGCTTTTTTAACCATGTTTGTTTTGTTTCCAGTTACCTGGTAAGGTCACTCCTCGCACGAGGAGTATAAGTAAAACGACATATCTGCCGATATGAAATAAAAATAATTATTAACGATAATTGTATTCAACGACATCCCAGATAACAGGTCGACATATTCGCAGAAATACGTCGACCTGTTATCTGGGATATATGTCTCACGGGATATGTAAAGGCGTCTCACGGGAAAATAGCAGTGAAGTAGGCGACCTAGACCAAACAATGACAAAACGCCATCAAGTAATTTGCATTTTGCATACGACATAAAATTTATGCATGTACAACCTTGCCACTGGATTGGACCCCTTTCCAGAGGGAGAAAAAAATAACGATCCATGAAAATAGGAGACAAAGGGTCAGCCGCCACTCGGGAAGCCCTAGGTTTTAAAAATTCCATCCTTTAAGTAAGTGCTTTCGATTTAACTGCTAGAAATAGCTCATAAATATATTTACCTATCCCGTCATCAATATTCTTTTTTTGGGGAAACACTTCATGCCTATATTAAGAAAATGGCACCGTTATACTAAAGGCCAAAAGAAATGCGTTGGAAAAACCATACTCGAAATAGAGTTGAGGCAAACTGATATTATTATCGGTCAGGTAGGTCGAATTCTCTGTACAAAGGCATTTTATCACGTTATTGAGTTTCATACATATTTATGATTTTTTTCGAAAACCTGCACACGCTTCCGGCCCCACCCAATTTATGTCACAAATAGCCCACGGTAGGGTGGATTGAAAGGACGCAGAAAAGTAGAAAACGGTTAGCGCCATTAGGCTACAGTAGACAAAAATTGATGGAGAAAGTTCTTGGAGAAAGTTATCGGAGAAAGTACCTGCAGTAATATGATACCACACAGAAAGTCCCAACCATGCTGCCGTATCCAACTCCTTCGAAAACAGTGTGTACTTATTGGCATTAAAAAAAAATTATGCTGTAATTTGATACCTTTAAAGAAGGGCGCAAGCGCCCAGACCTTGACCTGGCCGTATGAGGAGAACTGACCCAGTGCCATTTCCAGGAAATAAATCGGTTTCCCTATTTGTGAAATAAACTTTAAAATTTGAGAGCTTAAGAGGAAGGAGAAAAGTCTATTACCAATGAAGATAAGCACGATTAAGTACGGGATCAAAAATGCGCCTGAATGAAAACACGATTAATCAATTGCGGAATTTCATATCGTAGATTTCACATTCATGTAAATACCTCCGCCATTCTCATAGGCTGCAAACGGAATAAATAAATTTGAAATAACTAAATTTGATTAATTGAAATAAATTAGTCATTTTTTCAAGACCTGCAAACGGAAAACGCCACACATTTCCGAGACCCACGCTCATTGAAATACAGGAGAGCCTACAAGTAATTAAATTTAAATATGGCTAATGAATATATATTTAAATAATTAATAAATTAACAATCCCCCCGGGGGACGTACAGAAATTCAATCGGGTTGCCCCACGTGTCCCTGTCATTGGAGAGATCCTCGCCCCCATCGTCGCCAGCGTCCACAGACTCCAGACTTGTTTCGGTAGGCTAAGAAAAGAATGTAGTAAAGTGTCCCTTTCGGCTTTTCCTTTTATCTACAAGTAAAATCTGGGATACTAATTTGTACTCTTACCTTGAAGGGTAGTCCTCCGCTGATGGTGGGCAAAACATTTCCACTTTGAAAAGATGTTCGATGTCCATAAGAGTACACTTTTGCATTGCCTTCTGAAGGAACGTAGTTGAATGCATTGTTCACATGGCCAAAATCATTCATGTGTGCCTAATGAATGTAAAAACGTCAATATCTTTAGTAAAGTTATTTTCAACGGTTTTAGGACTTATTTTTTCATAAAACTTTACAGTTTGTATTTAGAACTCCAAGCTTTCCACAACTTTGATATCTTTGTAAATACTTATCAATACTTTAGTTTTGGACAAAGCTAATTTTGCATACATACGAATTTCCCCACCATTCAGAAATATGTAGTATGAAAATAGGTGCAGGAACTATATATATAATTTATTGAACAATCAATAAATAGTAAAATTAATAATATGCTTCATGAATGGACACGAAAATTTATTAATATCGATTAACGTCACAAAATTATTTAGGTTACGAGACTTGCATGCAATTACGGTACACGTATTATGTAGCAATTCATTTTGTGCGTTTTTTTCAATACATGAGACGCATAAAAGCATGACTTTGTTCCTCTTTTTGCTTACTTGTCACGGGACGGGACTTACCACAGTACGAAAGTTATTGAGGTTTTGACGAGCCAAATGATTCAAGTTGGGGTCAAAGTGACCATTCGATCTGTTCTTCTCGTTCATTGTCACCACAAATTAATACGATTTTTCAACAAGTTTTACGGAAATATTGAAAAAATAGAAGCACTGCAATTGTATTATCTCATCACACCACAACACTTTTCATACAAAGAATACGTCTCACATCTCAATCAATCGCGTCACTGACCATCAACTCTCGTCATGCCCAATCAACCTTTACTGAAATATTTTAATTAATTTGTGAACATGTTTTTACCACAAATTACTTGAATATTAAACTCTCTCCGCCGCGAAGAATTAATTATGTTTGTTGCTTAATCCAAAATAAACTGACTTTTATGCCAAAAATCACCATTTTCAAAAGATGAGACATGAACCAACACAAAACAAAGTGTCCAAAATCTTTCAAGATTGAAGTGGAAATTCAGCCAGGCTGTTAAACAAAAGTCAGTTTATCTCATCAGGAATCCCACTCGCTAATTGATTCACGATACGAAACACTTATTAAGTAAGACTCATTCGTACATATATTACAGAACGGTGATGATGATGACGAGGACATGAGGAATTTGACTGATTTAGTTCACCTTTGATTACACCAAGTCGGCCTTAACCTACCTCGCCTCAAACTTAATTGATTCCATAAGAGAGGAGATTATCTATTATGAACTAATCCTAAATGATAATTATTTCTGGAGATAACACCACAATTTACGTCACAAGTTCACCTTAGGTTATGCAACGGACATAATAATGACGAATCGGATGCAACGACATGTCAAGTTGAGAAAGTTTTGTACAAGACTGTGACAAACGGACCTGAATAATGTGAATGATGGAGAGAAACTAAAGTAATTGTTTAAATGGGCTTCTTTTCATGTACAAGCCTTCCCTTCCTCGATATCCTTCCAGCCATTATTTCCAACATCAAACAAAAGCATGGTACTAATAATAATAATGATGAAAAGGCTCGAAGGGTTCGCATGCCACTTTGCTCTCTCTCTCTCCACTAATAATATTATTGTCATTGCTTCTTATTCCAATGACATAGGTTCTGTTATTATTGTGTCGTTTGTGTCCTCCAGGATTCTGGTTCACTGAATACATAGCCCTTCTTCTGACTGCCTAAAAGCTATAATAGATAATATGTACCTTTATTACTTTACTCGGTTAAAGGATAAACTTTATTATGCACAACTCTTCACCTCGTCACTTGTTGGTACGTATAATAATAATCACTTCGGAATATTCAATAGGAGATGATGACATATGCGTCCAACTGTTCATGCAAAATTATAAATTAGCATGTATGGATGTAGTGAAGTGAAATGATTGCGATGGATGACTTTGATTAAGACGGAGGAAGGAAATAATCTTATTAAAATTATGGATGATTCGTCACATCCTATGTACGTTACACATGGTATGAAGTGATTAAATCAGGCATTTTTAGCTTGGTAGATATGTTCTTGGAAATTTTGCGTTTTATTTTGATAATGGCTGTGCAAACTGTGGTGAGATGTTTGCCTTGTTATTGAGGCTTTAGGGGAATGAATAATATGATATGCGGCATGAACCCCTTTGAGTAACGTTACCTTAACGAGGCAAGGTTCGTTTACCTTAAAACTTCCTAAAAACGAGGTTCAGGGTTAGATAGGATCATGAATTGAAAAGGTGTTTCACAAAAATAAGTGTTGTTTAGCTTGTTGCAGGTGGTTCTCTTCGTTTTATGGTTATTTGAGAAGGATGAGAAGTATTTATATATTTACTTCTAATGGATTTTATGGCTAAATGGAGACATTAAATTATTCCAAAATTTAGTAAAATTGCTGAAAAAATATGAGACATGTAATGCACGAAACAAAATAAGATTACAGTGGAATGAAAGGGAATTGTGAGACGGGGAAAGTGAGTCATTTGGCAACAAAAGTACAAAACAGGTGATTTTTGCACTGTTGACTGTGTCACACAGTTAAATTTCGTTATTTGTTATTTTTTTGTAAATTCTGTAAAACTGATCATATTTTGAAATGCCAATTTACGAAGGAATTGGTATCATTAACGAGAAATATCCCGTGGTTTTGGAAATTGGGAGATACTTGACAAAGTAAATGGGTTTTGTTTTGAAATTAATAATTAACTTTATGTGATCGATTATTCATAAATCTGCCTAATAAATGCATATAAGAAATGTTTAATTGATATGTTCATCCGTTTCTCTGATAGGGCTGGATTTGCAGGAGAATCGAGTCCAAGATGTGTCATACCTTCAAAGATAAAGACAAAAGACGCGGCCGGCTCCCGTCGCCTATCGGATTTCAAAGATTCGGCAGACCTGTATCAAATGCTGGTGGAATTTTTGCACCACTTATATTGCAAGTAATTAAGATACGCATAATAACTATGCTTTTATTTGAGTTTCATGATACGATTAAGTTGCACGTCAATTGTTTTCCTAGATATCTTCTAGTAACTCCGAAAGATCGCAAAGTTGTTGTTGTGGAATCTCTTTTCGCTACAACCATTTGGCGACAGACCTTAGCTAAGGTGCTGTATTTACATTACGAAGTTCTCACCGTTCTCTGGATTCCAAGCCCAATAGCTTCCGTAAGCAGTACGAATCAGGACACTGCACTCATCGTAGACTTTGGATCGGAGGAAGTTCAAATTATTCCCGTCTTTAAAGGAGTGACCATTCTATGTGGGGTCGTGTGCCATGAACTGGGTGCAGATACTTTCGACAAGTAATAATAAATAATTTCCCTAATAGAATACATATATGATGATATATGACAAGTTAATGAACAGTGCTTCTTACATAATTTGTTTAATTTTCAAGGGAATTAAAATCTATTTTGATGGACAATTGCTTGAATAATTCCAACAAAGAAGAGTTGGACCGCTGCCTCACCCCCGCAAAAGTAGAAGACATCAGAGTTCGATGCTGTGTAGTGACCAGTTCGTCAAGAGCTGCACAGATTCAGCGACCTGAGGATATCACACTCACTAAATTTAAGCCTTTCCTTTACGAATTAGATGGACAAAACTTTCTCCAGTTTCATGGAATCGCTAGAGAAAAACCTTCTGAAGTTTGGTTTAAAAATGACGACCGAGATGGAATCTCCATCCCTTTAATGATTCTTCAAGTTCTGTCCATATGCCCTGTCGATACGAGGAAACCTTTGGCAGCAAATATCCTCATCACCGGTGGGACAGGAATGCTTCCCGGACTGCGGGGTCGACTTTTAAAGGAATTAAAGACATTGACAGCCAATTCGGCCGACACATTGATGAACGACCCAGTATTGCAAGAAAGATTCGCAAACGGAAATTACGAGTTTAAAATGTATGATCCTCCCGTGAAGCCAAATTGTATGGCATGGCTTGGAGGCACTCTATATGGGGCGACAGAGGCGTTGGGTCTTCGTGGTATAAATAAGGAATTCTTCTTAAAACATGGGCTCATTCCTGATTGGTGCGACCTGCAATTCGACATGGTGAACGCGAATGGAAGTCCTGTCATCAGTAGAGGATGACAGCATTATTTATTACATAGGTAATTAAATATATAATAGCATTTTCTAATTTCACAATATAATTTATTTCTGTTGATGGCAATGATAATAAATAAATAAGTTTAAACAAGCATAAATGAAGAGGCAAAAATCGTTGATGCACAAGTTAAAAATAGCTAAAGTCTAGTGTTATCAGACTTCGCTTGTTTTCGGTTTTGGTATGTCGATAGAGGCGGATTTATCAAGTCGTGCCTCCTGATGATGACTAGATGATATGATTGATGAGATTGAAGACGATGTGGACGTTTGTATTTGTGGATTGAAATTAATAACTTCCTCATCTTCATCGTCTTCGTCATCTTGTTGAGATTTCTCTTTGCGCTGCGCTGTGGCTGCGACTATTGAATAATATCAAGAGAATTACATGGATCCTTAGAAATTTCGCAAAAATGCTTATCTCATGAGTGACTTACGTTCATAAGGTTCTGGATATTGTTGAGATATTTTAGCCTTAATGTTTCTAATTCTTCTGAAAATGTTATCAATGTCTTTCTTCATTTCTTGCAGCATGGCCGTGTGTTTCTTAAAATCTCTGGAATAATATCAAATTAAAATTCAAGTCTTATCTATATGTACAGTCGATACAAGGATTTGGACAATTTCAAACACCTGGACGCATTTTGGAGCCTCGAAGCGGACAATTGATTACAATTTATCAACATTTCGTTCGTCTTCTCAAATCTTTGGAGCCTTTATTAAACAGAACATATCGTAATTATAGTGCAAATGTAATCATTTTTAAAGATTTACTACAGAATTTAAGAAATCTTACATGTATTTCTGGGACCTAATTATGGTTTCAGTGTCTTGTTGATTCACCATCCCAGCTAAACCTTGAACAAATACTTCAGGGGCTGTATAGTTTTGAAAACATTCTACATTTGGACTCGCTCCCGTGTCGCTGCGACTGTGTTGGGGGGAATTTTCTTCCATGATTTGATGATTAGTGATGGGTATTCTGTTTCTACTTTTATATAAGACAGTAAGGGTAGTTATATAACATGATTCACTTTTTTAATTACAAGCAAAACTTTAATTTCATCTACATTGTTGATGTACATGAAACAACATTTCTGTACCAAATGATTTCCCATGTTATTTACTTCCCGACTTTCGTTATTAGAGTTCGCTCGTTGAAACTTTCCCTTGTTGAACGTGTGACAACGTGTAACGATATACGAATAGAGATTTGCAGATGCGTCCTAAGAGCTACTTGCAAAATTTATTTTCTTATATGCAAAATTATTTGACAATTAAATATCATGGGGCACTGCGCCATAGAAACGGTGTCAATTACTTGTGTACGGTTAGTATTTTGTGAATTTTATGGTATGGTTTTATCAAACTCTACTGATTCCATTTGAATAATGGCCTAAATTCTTTAGTTGAGTAAACGAAAATCTGTGAAATCAACAATACTAATTCAATATTACTTACTGTTAATACCTGCAGGATGCAACTTTAAAATTCGGGTACAAGTTACTATATAAATAAGACATTACATTATTAGTAATGGCGGACAAGAAACCAAAAAAAGATAAGAAAGATGAAAAACCTCCCGAGAAGAAAGACGAGAAACCTGCCGAAAAGAAAGATGATACGCCAGGGGACCAAAAAGGTCCGCCAGAAGCAGGGCGCAGGATGACAGTTCTTATTGGTCAAGATGGAACTGGGATCTCTCTTGTTCCAATGCCTGCCCCCTCCTCAGATCTTAGTATACTTTCCAAAAATGTCCCCGGTGGGGGTGCCATACCGGCCGTCATTCGTGCTCCAGGAATGGAAGGAGAAGGGATGGCCTTGCAGCTCGAAGAAGCAGAGGTTCTTCCGTATGAAAGCGTTTTCGAATGGGTCAGAGTGCTAATGAATTTATGGATTAATGGATTTATGCTTTTTTAAATTGTACACAATAAACGTCCGATAATTGTTGCAGGACATTCAAGATCCTGTCGGGTACTACGCAGAGGATGAAAAATATGCAGCTCTGCTCAAAGTGGTAATAAAAATGGCACTGATTAGTAAATTCGTGGGGAAGTATACATATGAACATTTCTTCAATTTCGAATCGTTGAACTTTTTGGTTGGTATTTATAGTTTGAAAAAGACGAAGTCAAAGTAGCCGTTTTAGATGGGATGTGGCGTGACAGAATTAAATACCAAGTTCTTAGAAGATTTACATGGCCTCCACCACTCTTTGTTAGTCTTTTCTGTCTTTGTATTTGCACACTTTTTTTTAATTCAAATTTATTTTGGTAATTCTTGCATATTTCTTTGCAGCTTAAGCAAATTTTCTTCACGAGAGGATATTATGAAGACTACGAACCGAGACCTACAGTAAATATTCAGTGGTTACATTTGCAAAGAGATGCAAAACGGCAAAAACAGGAAGCGAAAAGTGCAGTAAAATTAATTATTTATAGAAATACTTCATTAATTATATTCACTAATTAAACTCCGTTTCAAGTTACTTGAGTTCCCCGCCTTGAGTACATTAGCCGAATGAACCGAATTATCCTATTATTTTATTTTATAAATATTAGCCGGTTCATTCGGCTAATGTACTCAAGGCGGGGAACTCAAGTAACTTGAAACGGAGTTTAAGTACTTTATTGTTACAAAATTTTTAGTGAGAAGGGCAGGAGAGAATCGATATAATTTACAAATGGCTTTCGACAATTCGCTTGGTCCAAAGGCATCCTTGTCTGAATTTGATGAGAGTATTTACAATCGCAATTTGTGAGATGTTCAACTCAACTACACATTCATTGCACACATATATTTCAATATAAATTTCTGGCATTTACCTAATACTTAATTAATTATTTGTATTTTCAGACTGGTTATAAGAGGTTTATCACGTGATACTGACCCGGCGCTGCTAAGGAAGATGTTTCCTAAAGGTCACGTTGTTCTCCTTGATGACGGAATGTAAGAGAAGTCATAAATAATGTCAAACTCTGATTGATAAATCTACATGTATTTTCAGGGGTGGTCTCAAGGCCGAAGTTGAATTCAAAAATTTGGATGATGCCAGAGCTGGGTATAGAACAGGCATGAGTTCGAATATCAATGGTCATCGTTTGAACATACTCCCGAAACGATGGCCTAGACCTTCCCTGTCTGATTTTGACCCTGTCGTTTATAATCGTGAAATGTAAGATCATGAGAGCTTTATAACATTGTTTTAATTTTTAAAGAAAATTATGTACATATGTTGCTTAATTACTTTGACCTGTTTTCATTTCTAGCCTTGTTATCCGCGGCTTAGAAAAGGATGTACCAATAGAATTACTCAAAGAAATGTTTCCTAAGGCGAAGATTGTCATGAAGGATAATGGAACGTACGTTAAGATATCAACTGTAGAACCTGTACAAAAAGTTTAAAAACATAAACTGGCATAAAATAAATTGCATTTTTTTAGAGGTGGGCAAACTGCAGAAATGACATTTGACAATGAAGACGATTCGAGTGAAGCGTATCTGAAAGCTATCTCCTCCAAGATCAAGGGATACACAATTAACATTCTTCCAATTGAGCGAAGTGAGAATAGTTACAGAAATATGTGCAATGTGCAAAAAATGTATTTGCTATTTATTTAAACACAGAACCACACCCTAAGGATTCGTTGTCTCAATTTGATCCAGTGATATACAATCGTGAAATGTGAGACGTCTGAAACAATTAATGTCTTAAACCTCTATATTTGCAAATTTATTACCAATTTATTACCAAAAATTTATTACCATTTTCCATTGTTTATTACTTCTAGCTTGATAATCAAAAACATGCCCAAAACAACAGACTTGGAGAAGATCAAGAAAATGTTTCCAAATGGCACAGTCACTGCGAAGGACAATGGAAAGTATGCATGGCATTATGTTTGTTTAAAGCAATTAAACCATATACGAACCTTAAAAACACTGAATGCTATATTCTTCAGGGGTGGATTTGATATTGAAATTGCTTTCAAAAGCTATGACGATTCGGCAGCTGCATATAAGAAAGCTTTGAATGAAAAGATTGATGGAAAACCGTTCTATATTCGTCCAATACAATGGGGTAAGATTCCATATTGCAGAGTTACATATATGTAAATATTCACGTAAATCGAGAAAAAATTTAGTGCAAACTTTAAACGTTATCTTCAATTCTTTAGAGGGAGAATACGGGCCTGGAGCTGGAGGCAAGGGTGACGATCTCAGCAAGTTCAAGAAACCAGCCAAGGTTGATTAGTTTCTCTTTACATTAATTTCTTAAAAATAAAATTCTATTTATACATAATAAGGATGACATTTTTAACATGACATGTTAATAGCCTCCACCACCTCCTGTCATTACTGGTCAGAAAAAGTCCCTGTCCGAATTTGATCCATTAGTCTACAATCGTCAAATGTAAGATTGGCTATTCTTGAAGTATTTGTTGCATTATGAAAATCCGACTCAATCGTTCATGTTGATTTATTTATTTTAGATTAAACATTAAGGGTAATCATCACATATTATGACGTTTATCAAATTGTTATTTCATATAAAAATGTTTCATAATTTGTAAAATACAATTTTCGTCTCTTATTTATAGGTCTCTCAAAGGACACACCGCAATCATTGCTTGACCAAATGTTCCCAACTGGCATTGTGACCATGAAAGATGACGGAAAGTAAGTGTTTGACACTACATTTACTTTGTAAAAGTCACTAGTTTCAAAAGTTGTTACATAATATTTTAGGGGTGGTCTTGAGGCTGAAATTGAGTTTCAAAGTGAAGACGATTCTAGAGCTGCGTTTAGGCACGCATTAAAATCCAAGATCAAGGGGCAGGCAATAAATATCCTTCCAATCATGCGACGTAAAAATGTCACCATGATTCTTGCGTATTTAATTAGTTCACGAAATGCATTCAGAATATTTTTTGACTAGTTCCTGGATCTGGACAAGACGATATTGATCGAGGAGATGTCATTTACGCTAACCCTTACATGATTAAATCCGTACGTTATGTATCACATATACATAATCACAGAAAGGAATAATTTTGATCTACAAAAATTTTGATTTTCCTACAGAAAATTCAAGCTCATCCTCTCCGTTCTAAAGATCCGCCCAAGGGCGTTAAACCTAAAAGTAATTAATTAAATGTATAATGGTAAAGTTTGTCAAATTATTATACACAACTTTTTGTACAATTCCTTTAGCCACCAAGAAACTGAATGAATATGATCCCATCGACTACGACTACCTAAAGTACGCAATTCTTTGTGGAATTAAAGCTTGAAATTTTAACCCGTTTATGCTTACATAGATTGGACGTTCATGGAATTCCTCCTGGCACGAAAAAAGAGGATATCAAAAAGATTTTCCCTAGAGCCAGCGAAATTAAGAGTTTGGATCCGGATGTTCGGTATATATAAATTATTTGAATTGAATGTTTGACCTATTTATATACAGTTATTAATGATTTATGACCTTCTTAAGGTATCCTGGAAAATTGAATGCAGTCGTTATTTTTAAAACCCGAGAGGATGCCATGTACTCATACATTGATAATCATGAACAAATAATCAACGGAGGAGTAAAGAGAAAATCCAACTTGTCAACTTACAATTTACCTGTATCAAATATATATTTTGATTTTTTATAGGAAATGGATATTATTCCTCAAAGAAAAGGTACGAAACCTAGGCTAACCTACAAGATAAAAGTTTTCAAACAAAAAATCATACAATTATATTTTATTAGATGGAAAACCTGAGCCGCTTAAAGGGAAAGGTGGAAAACCTATTCCGGTAGCGGCACCGGCACCGGTACCTTCTGCAGGTATGTACATTTCTATATTATTCCATACACTGATAGAATGGTGACTTCCGTGTTGTGATAGATTTTGTGACGACAATTTTTCCCATTATTTTATTATAGTTGCTGACAAAAAGCCGGATAAGCCAAAGGGTATAATTATAGTTAGTTGAAATACATCACACATGTAGTTAATTTTTATGCAAATTCTTGTAGTGGCGAAGGCATTGACGTCGTATAATCCTTTAGACTTTGACTACCTCAAGTAAAAATATGATGTTTTATATCTATTATGATTATAGAAATTAGTTTGAGATGAATGAAATTAAAATAATTTCGTATGTACCTTTCAGCTTGGATGTGTCAAATATTGCTGCTGGTACTACAAAAGATCAAGTACAAAAGATGTTCAAGACTGGAAAAATTATCAAATTTGAGCCAAATCCTGTGTACGTTAAATATTTTTGTCTTCTGATTGAAATAATATATAACAGTGTTTAATTTATTCTTTCATGGTAGGAATCCAAAAATGATGATCGCCGTAGTTAGCTTTGAAACACGGGAAGATGCTATTGAGGATTATAAGAACGCGATTGATAAACCCTTAAACGGTCTCGAAATTGACATCGTCCCACAAAAGCTTTCGGAAGATGCAAAGAAGAAGAAAAAGAAAGAAAAGGCACCAAAACAAGAAGAACCTGCCTCAACGACTGAGGTTATTGAAGAAGTCTCCTATGAAGTCGTTAAGAAGCCCAAGAAAGAGAAAAAGGCGAGAAAGTCAAAGGCAACGACAGTAGCCACTGAAGAACCATCCGTCGAAGTGGTGGAAGAAGTGACATATGAGGTCGTGAAGAAACCCAAGAAAGAGAAAAAGGAAAAGAAATAAAACCAACTAAATTAAAATCACTTTTTTGTTTCTTGGAGATTTTTAAAAAATAAAGTAGTGCTAGAATCTATTGTCCTTTTAAAGTCGGCAATTTTAATACACAAATCGTCGCTCAATTTCATAATACATACTTAAGCAACATGCCGCCTACCCCAATGGAAGTTGTGGTCAGTTAAATATTTATGTATATATGTAGCTCACAACAAAATCTATTACGTATATACATACATATTCCTTTTAATTTACAGGGTCATGAATTCGTGATCATACTTGGTATGGCTGTGTGGACATTAACAGCTAACATTTTCATCAAATATTTTAATCTTCCCGAAGTTGTATGTGCCTTACAAATAAAATCGCATATTTAACCTTTACTACATATTTATTAAAACATGCACTTATATCATCTTGTATATATGTAAGGTACCTATGAATCTTATCTATTCTTTCACTGCAACCCTTCCAACCCTTGCTAAGGGATTACACGTCGCCCAATTCACCTGGCTCAATCACGGCGTAAGAAAAGATCTGCGATATCAGTTTTTACTTACGAAACTTAATTACGTAATGGTCAAAAAATTTTCATACCATCTCCACCACGCAGATTCGAATCATGTCAGACCTTGGAATCATGGCGATCGGTATTTTTGCTTATGACACAATGTTCTGGTTATACGGAATTGACTACAAACTGGGTCAAGATCCCACCACGCTGATTCGGAGGTCAGCGCAGTTTTCCTTCTGGACGAAAATCTTCATGGTTTGTCTTATCTACATCTCGCACCTCACACTACTCGGAAGTTGGCGTTTGGGTTGGAATGCAGTCTGTGTCCCTTTCGTCTTCCTGTTCAATACGGTCGTCGATCTCCTATTCCCACCCCCACAAAATCCACCCCCTTAAATAAGTTGACTGATTTATTAGTGTCAGAATATTGTACTTGACTATAAAATAAACGGTTGTATTTCATGCAATGAGGACAAAAATTCTGGGTGGAGGGCATTGATCTTTTTTTTCTTTTTGCAGTAATTTTTCACATTTTCGCTTTCTCAATATTAGTAGCGAAACTGAGTTGCGAATAAAACTAGCAATTCGGCGAACATTAAATAGTATCAGTTATTTAGTTAGTTAATTCCGATTTCGTTGCATTATTTCGGGTTCTTGATTTACCATGAGGTGGAGTTTTATGGTAAAACGACAACGTTATTTTTTAACATCAATACTTACCTGGTTATTAAATGATAACCTTTTAACTCGTATATGCAGAAGATTTTTGCTGCAATACATGCACTATTTCTAATATTTTTGCTGTACAAATTCGGAGAAACCTTGAGTGGTAAGGATGACATTGAGCTTGTGGGATTTGTTAAAAAGGAACGTACCATGAAGACGCCCAATCCATACCGAAATAGGATTCATAAAAAAAGGAGCAAACCTGAACAATCGTTGGAAGCGCCGCTACCTGTCCCTCTACCTCCATTAGAATTGGATTCGATGAGATCATCCATTCAGGATTCGAATTATTCAAGGCTTGAAGGACAAGTTGTGAAGAGAATGGACGAAGCAGAAAATAACAGGAGCATCGAACATCAAGAAAACGACGACGTTCCTCCTCCTCTTCAAATTGAAGGGACACGATTCGTCCTGTACAATCGTCACGTTTGCAATAATGGAACAAAAGTTGCGATCGCCAATAGTTCTGCCCCCTTTCCCGTCTTGCTTGTTCTCGTTCATAGTCGCCGAGAGAACTTTTTGAGGAGAGAAGCCATTCGGAATACGTATGGGAGTTTATACACTTATAAAAATTGGGACATCAGGGTTATCTTTCTTATTGGGAAAGGGAAGAAGAAAAAGTCGAGTGCAAATAAGGATGCGACTACTCAAGTCCGATTGGCGTGGGAATTTGATATATTTGGAGACATTATAATGGGTATTCAAAAGACTAATTGTGGAATTTATCGATTTTTAAGTATTGATTGTTTAATATATGTATATAGGTGTATTTGTTGAATCGCCTGCAAACTATTCTGTATCTACTACTTACAAACACGTCATGGGAGTGAGATGGGTCATGGAGTATTGTTCTAGGGCAAAGTACATTGCTAAAGTTAACGATGATCATTTCATCAACACATTGGAAATCATAGACGGTACAATCCCCACCATGAAGGAGCAGAAAGTCAGCTTCTTCTGTAATGTTTTATTCGGATCGTTGGACGAGACTGTTGATGATGATGGGAAAATTGGAAGTACCAAAATACCTGGAAAGTTATTGCAATATTGTTCTGGAGAAGCATACCTAGCAGACTTCCAGACGCTAAAAAGCATTTATGGCATGATCCCGACCGTTCCGTTTTACAAGCAAGAAAGAGATGACCTGTTCGTTACTGGAAGATTACGGCAAGCTTTTCTACAAAGATCAACCTCTTCAACTTTATTACGACAAGACTCGCCAACTGATGACCTCAAAATACTGAATAATATGCATCAGCAAAATGAGAAAGAAGAACCATGTTTTTACGTAGCTAATTCTTTCCTCAAAATGGAGAAAATGCCGTTTCAAAGATTGATTAAGAGTTCAGAAGTGAAGCGTTTCTGGTGCTTGTGGTGGAACGTTATGAACAACAAAGGAATATTAACGGCTGATTTAGAAAGGAGATTTGTCTGGACAGCTATGGCCCAGTAACGCTTATGTATTTAAGTATTTGCCTCTATTAAACATAATCACATGAATAGTTTTATATTTAAGTCGAATACCGTAACATTTCATTCTTGATCATGTCCAATATTATTTTACTTTCGATAATATATACGTAAAAGTCTTCTTGAGGCTTCCTTACCTGCACATAAATATCCACAACACCTGCTATATTATAAGTAGCGTGTCATTGTTTATCACGACATGACAGCCTAATTTATTATCAGATAAATTATTAATCAATCATTCTAATTTCTGTAATCACTTTCAATCCAGAATTTTAAACCTTTACACATGCATTCAATAAAAAAAATGTCATCGTCATTTTGCCAAGTCCATTTATGCATGTTAATTCTCTCTTTTCTGGACAAACGCTGTTCATCTGATAGTAATAATACAGAGATGACTGCATATTAAGTTGTTGACGCACATATTCCTGTATTAAATTAGATATGTAGTATTTAGTACTTGCTATTCAGCCTGTTGTTGTGTGTCCACTCCTCGAAATAGATTAGATTAGTGGAAAAATTTTGCTTGCGTTATTTGGACGGACAATGGTTGATGCGGTTTTGTAACTGTGTGGGTTGTCCAGGTGTGGTTTCACTTCATTATTTATGTGACACGAGCCCTAATTTCACTTCAGTATAGGTCCGGTTCTATCTTCTGTCTGGTTGTCTCGAAATGGGTCTCTTAAACTTGGGTCTTTTGACCCTGGCGAGCTTTGCAACCTGCCAGTTTACAGATATTAGCTTAGAACCTACAATTTTTGAAAGCACCATGTAAGATTTTTTTTTAATTTGTAGTTTCATAAAGTATGAATTTCATGAATGTAAGAAAATTGACATTAATTTTTGGTACAGATTACCTCAACACGAGAATGGAACCCTGCTACCTCGATATTTTGCGTCCGTGGGTAATGGTCACATTAGCACGACCGTTAACACCGATACAGTTTATTTGAATGGTTTATACAATGGCGAAAGGTATCATAATATAGCTTTTAATTATCGTAATAATTTTATGACACGTTGATTTTTTTAGGGGAGAAAGTCACCGAGCAAGAATTCCATCACGAAACAACATTCGGGCATATCCACCCACGGACGAAGGTTCAGTCACTGAACGACTTTTTGGGCTTAATGTGGCGGAAGGTGAGGTCAAAAAAATATTAGTCATGATTTTAAACAACCTTAACTATGTTATTTTTTATCTGGTGGCAGGATTTTTCTATGAAAAATACAACGTGAAAGGCTACACTGTGAGTATTTTAACCAATTGAGTATGTACATGACTGACATAATATTCAAATTATAATATTGTCGTATGTTATTTTACTTTTTAAGGTAGAGCATCGAACTTTTGCCCATCGGTATTTTACCCGAGTTATCATGTCCATGTTTTTGCTCAAGGCGACAGCTTCAGCAGGTAAAATAGATACTACAACAATGCCATATTACGAATTGTCACTGCACATGTATATCGATTTTTGGAACATTTTGATTAGACCCTGCTGGCGTTACCATTGCATTCGAATCTAATCCGGGTGATCCAAGCGCTGATATCACTTTCCAACCGGAAATGCCTTTTGAAAGTAATCATACTTTAGGAGCAGTGTCTCAATGTGGAGAAACGCGAATTCGCGAAGATGTCAATTATCCTCAAAGTACCGGCGTTTGCGTTGTACACGATACTGTAAGATTTCGATTTGATCAATGTTGGAAAGACAAATTTACTTGACTCATGTCACTAATTATCTATGCAGCTCCCCATTTCCGTAACTCTTACACCAAGCAGCAACCTTACATTATACTACCTGGCATCTTATGACTTTACCTTGGAAGAAGCTGGTTCTGATTTTAACGATGGTGAAATTTTAAAAAATTTAAAAAGTCTATTGATCCGTATCATAAAATGGTCTATACTATTAATTTTTCATCCAGCTCTTAAATACGCATTTGACGACGGGGGCGGTGATCTTTTTGTACTACACTCGGCCGCTTGGAGATCTGTATGGACGGATGGGAAGATCGAAGTTGATGGAAATCTCGAATTGTCCAAAATTATTAATGGATGCCTTTACTACATTCTATCTGCTCTACCCGTCTCCACAGTCCCGAACATTGTCCAACGTCAATTTTATGGTCTAAGCCCTGGAGGCTTGGCCTATGGCGACTATCTGATGGACTATCAAGGCCATTCGTTTTGGGATACGGAAACTTGGATGTTTCCTTCCATTCTGTATTTATATCCCAGGGCAGCTGAACAAATGCTGAATTATCGTCTCTCTGTTATCGCCGCTGCTCGAGACCTTGCCAATCAAACGGGATATGCGGGAGCTCGTTATCCTTGGGAGGGAGCAGTCACTGGGCGGGAAGTGACGCCGGATTGCTGTGTCGATACTCGCGAATTGCAAGTAATATAAGAGGGCGAAAAATAAGTAGTTTTTACCATTTTGTATGCAAATGCAATATAAATATATGTTTGTATGCGCTTGTAGATCCACATAACTGCAGATATTGCATATGCAGTCCGACAATATATTGCGACGACTAGAGACATGAACTGGTTACGACAAACGAAACCTGGCTATATTGCCAATGGCTGTACTATGATTCGTGAAATGGCAGAATTCTACACCACGAGGGCCGAATTTAACACAACTACACGACTACATGATATTAACGGTTAGAGTTTTTGTCGTAAAGTTGGTGATTTTTAAATGTGATTGATGACCTACAATATTATTTCTTCAATCCACAGGAGTTATGCCTCCAGATGAAGATAACAGACCTGTAAATAATAACCCCTATACAAACATTGGTGCTGGATATTCCATCTTTTTTGCCAAGTTTGTTATTACAGATATTAATGTTTTTAAACACAACTTAATTTGATGGTTTTAATTAACTTTAATGTTATCATGAGCAGATATGCAGAATGCCTGTGCGCTGGTGATATGACTCAAGTACCTCAAGCATGGGTGGACTTGGCTTCGTCAATAAAACTTTTATACGACGAAGAACTCGACTACCACCCAGAGTTCGAAGGATATGTACTCGGCACACCAATCAAGCAGGCTGACGTAGCTTTAATAGGGTTTCCCCAACAATATGAAATGGCCGCATCCACAAGAAGAAATGATTTGACCATTTATGAAAATGCTACGAGACCTGACGGTCCAGCCATGACCTGGGCAATGCACACGATAGGATTCCTAGACTTGAATGATGTGACTAAAGCCGCAGAATTGTTTGACAAAAGTTTCAGGAATTATATTCGAGAACCTTTCAAGGTACACATCTTAATGCATACATGACATTTAGACGAGTAGATAGCACAGTTATGGATTAAACAATGTTCCTAAATTTCCAGGTTTGGACTGAAGCACAACCCCCAACTCTAGGTGCCATTAATTTTATCACTGGGATGGGAGGTTTTCTACAAGGAGTCATTTCCGGTTATGGTGGTTATCGTCTTCACCCTGAAAAAATTGTTTTTCAACGTCCCAGGGTCCCACCAAATTCAGAAGAGTTGAGAATTAAAGGTTGCACAAGTTTCTCATTGTTGAGTTAACGTAAATATGTATACTGAATATCTATTTTATTTCCGAATTAATAGGTTTGGACTACTTATCTAATTCATTCGACTTGACCGTGCGCAACACCTCATTTACTCTGACGATGGTCCGAAGCAACATTAATTTCCCTTTGAACGTGGAACATGACGGAGTTATTTATCCGTTCCGTAAGTGACATAATGAATTACGTGTGTACTATTTGTGCATCAAATTATACACATACCTACTTTCTATGTATACAGAGGAGAACGGCGTATCACTCGGATTTGGAACAACTCAATTCACCAGCGTTTCAATGTACACCATTCGCCAAACTAACTGTCCCCTTCCCCTGGATAAAATTGGCACACCTCTTCCATAACTTGATCCATGAACTTTATTACATTTATGTCAAATTAATGAGTGACTAAAAAATAAAGGAAAAACATTTAATCAGGAGAATCATTCCTATTTGTATTGTATTATTCTTACAAATCATCTCTTCGTAACACCAGCGTCGCAATGACTAGGACAGAAATGTGTATCAAAATTTCTTGAATTAGGCTCAATCTACTTCTACTACTACGAAATCCTCCGCTAAGACATACACTATCCATGCACTTTTCGCTGTGACACATCTTATCCGAAGAACATGGATGACCACCAGCTCCAATACCTACATACATTCACACATGATCAAATAAATTAATAATGTAACCAGCGATTTTTGTGTGTTCAATTTCTGGTATTTTGTATGTACACGAGATTGCCTTTTCACTCCATAAAAGCTCGATCCCATGCCAAACGATGCATTGACAAGTGTCATTCCTACATTCGAGAGATTTCCCATAAATGTTGTAGCAGTGCCTGTCGACGCCTTTAAAAAAATGAACAACCCATAAAATAAATTCAAGAAATCATTCATCATCTCAAAAGATATTTAATTACTGCATTCGGCCCCATAAAATTTTTCCGGTTTCGACGCATCAATTGGTTTGTCGGAGTGTCGTTTATGGGCTTCTGGAAATTCATAGTCACTAAAGTGTTCTTTGTACTGAAATTCTCTGACGTCCGCGTAATCATTGGGATCTGTATCTGAATCTTCTCTAAGTTCTCGTAAATTTGCGCCTTCTATGGATGGTTTCGCCATGGTCAATAATATCAGCATCATTAACAGAATTTCTTTCGTCTTTGTGTATCGTCCTCTTCTTCTAAAATGTGATGGGTCAACTCCTATCAGCATCATTTATTAATCCAGGAAGAGTACGTGTTCCAAAATTGAAGCCAAGGGGATTGAGCCATTTGGCATCTCATGGGATTAGCATTAGTTATTAATCAGCTACAGTAAAAGTGGGATTATAGCTTAGCTAACTGAAATCTAACAAAAATGACAAAGTGCTGAATTCTGTAAGCCAGATTTGGACATATCCGAAGATAATAAATGTCTATGAAATTGCAGTGCAGTCATAACTACTCAGCTTTCACATAATGGATATCTATGGATTAGCATGAATACTTGATCTTTGTCAAAGTGCTTTCTCCGCATTATTGTACTGACTCTCAATCTATACATAAATATCAGTCAGGCACGTGGCTAAGTGGCCCGGTTGACGAAATATTAATGCATTTCAATTAAAAATGATTGATTAATGGCATCATTTTTTTCATAATTGAGTTCACAAGTTCAAACACCCTGTTTCCTTGAACGACGTGCATGCATAATAATAGATGAGTTGCTGTACAAATAGAATTCTAAATTTGACCCGGTATAGACAGATACCATCGTAAACCGTGTTGTTTGTTTCCCACTTTACAATTTGTCCCCTCGTGAATTTGTTATCATTATTCAGTCATTTGCAGTTCGACATGCAATACAAAGTGTGGTGACGAGGATAGTTAGTTAGAACTTTTTAGAGGTACATATTGTATGAGCGACCTACTAAAAAAGTCATGGCGTTCTATTTATAGAAGTCGAAACACGAATGTATATGTTTCTATGATGCTATTAAAACACGGCAGCCGCAACGACGACCAACGACTATGCGAACTTAGTACTGAAAAAAAAGTGTTGGCTCAAACTTCTTACTTATTTCATTCAACGGCTGGCAAATTTATAACGTGCTTTGCCTTGGTCGCAGAGACCTAAGTACGAGGGAGCAGAATCACCCAATCCATCCATCAAAGTGGATGTCACTTGTTTGGGCTGAAAGTGGTTTTCTAAAGTTTGTCGAGCAATAATCCGACGACTTAATTTCCCATAAAGCTGCCTTGTATAATAAGTGACTCATAACAAGACATACATTCTCATGCGAATTGTGTAAAGTGAAAGCAACTCATGTCAGTCACATGGTCGATTGTAAAAACCCAGTAGGAAGATAAGGATCAAAGTATAGTATTACATACACAGTGTGGCAATAATAATTGCGGAAATCAGCACACACAGCACTGACCATTCATTCAGAATTCTTGAGTCGACCTAATCAGTCAATCGTGCGGACGTCATTATATTGTCGAGTTTCTTCTAGAATTGCTCAAGCAGGAACCAGTATTGGACATACGATGCAAGCAAAACGCAACTTCTTACGACTGGGCTACGCAAGAGAAAGCTGCTGCTGGGACAAAGTAAAGCAACGAATGCGATAGTTGCAGATTGGACGCCAGCGGAGAAAGTAGAGTATAACGAGGAGTCGTAGTACTTAAATTAGAATTTTATTACCCGACACGTAATCACATTAAGTGTACCTGATCAAACTTTTCTACTGTTTTACATAAATTTATTGGTTAAGAGATTTGTGATACTTTATTAGAGAAAGTGTTTAACGGGGCATTTTGAAATTCCTTCGAAAACCAAGTACCTTTAACTACGCGTATACCTGATTAATCCATTATGATGAAGGATCCAGTCTGGGACTCTTTGATAACTCATCATAATCTTGAAGCCAATCATAAACGGGTCGGATCCGACAATACAAATTACTTGATAGATATCGAAGCCAGTGCCAATGAGGCAATACGAGACGCCAACGCTGCAACTAGCTGTGCGACCAGTCCTGATTCAGAGTCACGTTCTTCCAGTGAGACTTCGAACAAGGATTCCGACCTTGGGGGCAACCTCATCGTACCCAACAGTTTCATGGACAATGCTTACTCCTCAAAGTGAGTTGATTAATTATTGCCATTTTTTTGCAACTATTTAATTCTTAGATTTTGCAGAAACAAGAAGCCCTACACGAAACGACTAGTTCGGAAATCGGGCGGCGTTTGTGTCAAAATTGTCAACGTGGAAGACCGAGGGGAGCGATATGTTGGAGACTTTTTCACAACCTTGGGTATGTATGTCAGCCTTGAAAATTTCCCTCGCGAATATCGCCTATAGTCAATTTATTGCGCCGATATTTGGAAATGTTGCGATATATTTAGGCACGTAGAAATTATATTTCACGAATAAATTATTTAAAGGTCATCATCGTCATCATCATAATTGGACGATCGCATGTTTCGCAAGATGTTATACATTTGTCAAAAGTCTCATTCCGTCAGGGGCAGGTGTGGCGTATAAAATATCCACGAATAGCGGTGTGGACTTTGGAATAATTGCTTATTAAACTGCGATATTGACGCAATATAAAAGCTACTTTATCCTTATGCAAATATATAGCCGAACTAAGTGATGTCATTGGCATTGAATTCGATGGTTGATTCATGCATATAATGTAATGAAATAATCAATCAATCAATTACCGAATATTTAATTTATGTATGTAGGCGATCAATACGGACGTGTAGCTAGCGGATAGTTGATAGATACGTATCCATAATGCCAATAAACTTAATAATACTTTTCACCAGTTCGACATGCGTGTGCAAGTTCAAGGTTCAATTCTTGTCAGGCGACGGTAACACTATTTGAAATTGTCCAACCGTGGATAAGCTAGAAAACTTTTAAGTAATTCATAACTTGTGTAAATATTTAATATATTTACTTACACGCAATAAATTTATTCGCCTTATGCACACAATTTATGTACGTATCGATTCACTTATGTAGGTATTTATTTTATGTGTTTCAGTTGATGTCAAATGGAGATGGACGCTCACTTATTTTACCATCAGCTATGTCTTATCCTGGTTTCGTAAGTGGTCGCAAATAAATTATCCTTTTATTTAGTCATGTATGGCATTCTTTAGGGCTACGTGCGTAATTTTACAAGAATTCTCCTCACTTATCGCGAAGATATGGTGTCGTTTTGACCAACTATTATGAAAACAAAGTGTTCATGTCTTCCTGGGTTTTTTTTCCTTCCTGTTGATAATTCATTTATTGATTTACATTCGCCTGCCAATTACTCTACCACCTCTCATTCAGTCGGTATGGGAGGGAGGGGAAAGTTATCCCATTAATTTATGAGCGTGGGCTACCTCAACCATTTCCTATATTTGTAATCCCATTATCGTAAATCGATGTCGGAATTCGATACCTATGACATTGTCTGCAAAAAACCCGAGCTTTCCTATGCATTGTCTTAATTTCTGCCTGCAATAGGTATTTAGATACTTAAGATGTTGGTTTTAACTCGACAATTGATTGTCTTACAGTATTTGCATTGATATGGTGGGTTATCGTAAGGTAAGAAGTGATGAAATTGGGAAGGAGGAATTGAACATAGTTAGATTTTTGGTATATATTTGCAGAGGTCACGGGGATATGGACCACTTTGAGGAAGAAGGATGGAAGCCGTGTGTCGTGGGGGTGGCATCATTCTCCTCCATTTTTCTTTTCTCGTTGGAAACTCAGCATACAATCGGCTATGGTATTAACTAACTTAAAATTTCACACTCTTATTCGTCATAATCTAATCTACGTGTCTTGCAGGATACCACCGGATGAGTGACGAGTGTATGGAAGCAATTATTCTTCTGGTTGTGCAATCCATAATTGGCGTCATAATTGAAAGTCTAACTGTGGGTGTGTTTATCGTCAAGTTATCAAGTGAGTAGATTTATTGAATACTTAAAGTAGAGAAAATTTCATGTCCAATTACTTATTGCAGGGTCTAAAAAACGAGCACAAACCGTCGTGTTTAGCAAGTTTGCAGTCATTTGCCAAAAGGAAAAAGGATTGGCACTCATGTTTCGGGTAGCGGATGTTGGAAAGGTGCCACAATGGAGACCTTGCATTTTTTACGTTCTCAATTAAATACATAATTAAAATTATCCAATTATAATATGTAGAGCATGCTCCTCGAAGCACATATCAGAGCTCAATTAATTTCAAAGACGGTAGGAAAATCGGGCAAAGTGATTTTGTGTCAGCAATCCATTACGGTATGTCGGGTTTTGATTCATATCCAAATTTCCAAAGTTATAAATCATAGCAATGAAACATGTTCTGTATGTACGTAATTTGTAATCAGTTGGAAGCTGACGATCAAGATGAGGATCGTCTCCTATTGTTCTGGCCGACAACAATCTCTCACGATATTGACGAGGAGAGTCCAATGTACTTTTATTTATTACTATTTTTGTGAACAAAAGTAACTAGTTAGAGTGTTTATTTGTTAAATTATGCATTGGGACACGTGGGTCAGGTTGGGCGTTCTTAATATTCCGGCGATGGATGGCCAACTCCTTATTCAGTTTAGCCCTCTCCGGTCCCCAAGCCGTCACTTTGTTCTCTAATTTGACAACTTTTTCTTCAAGCATTTTAATCTTAGCTGCTTGTTCTACATTCTCACCCGGTACTTCCCCCAGTTGTATCTTCAGATCCTTGTTTTCTTGTATGAGGGCGAGATTATGCATTACCAAATCTGAATCTTCGTTTTCTTTGGCAAGGTATGGTTTCTTGGATGGGATGCTGACAAGATCATCTAGAACGACGACGTTTGGTTTCTTTTTTTGAGAAAATCCTCCACAATGTAGCAATGAGTTCTTTTGTTGGATGGCACTGGAAGTGACAGTCGCAGGGGCATTGGAGGTGGTGAGGTGACTGTTTGGAAATAAAAAATCCATTTATTTTTAAAAAAAACCAAAACGTAAAAGTTACAGAAAACATGTTACTCACCTCTTTTTATGCGAACCTTGAAGATTAGTTGTGGTTGGGGGCGCAGGGGAACCAATTTTGTGCTTGGCTTCAATGTGGCTTTTCAAACCCCTGGGGTATTTAAATGTTGACAAACACACGGTACACACATAATTCCTCTCACCAGTATGTTTTGCTGCATGTCTGCAAAATCAAAAACAATGTTTCGTTAGATTAGCATGCATTGTCTTCCATTCAATACTATGTTTAATTTAACTTACATCTTAAGTTCACTTGGTCTTTCACACTGAAATTGGCAATTATCCTCATAACACTTGTATTTCATAGTCCCAGGTTGTGTAATTTTTTTTATCTTTGGGGTTACCCGAACAATTAATTCTTCCTCCTCTTTCTCCTTATCCATGTCCGCCTCAACAACAAGATTTGCAACCCTGGAGCTAGGAAACGTTCAAATTACCATTTTGACGGTGCATAAATATTAGAAAAATGCAAATATTTGTAACTTACTCGATTATATTGTTTAAACGCGAACCAATATTTCTAAGAATATGCGTGCAGTTGACATTCATTATGCTACCAGCTAACTCGTCCTTTCTTTTTCGGTGTTGCTTGAGCTGGATGATATCATACGGCAACAAACCAAAAATTGGAAATTCGACGTAGTCCTCTCGTTCAACAGTCAACGTAGGATCAATATCATCGCTGTAACACAAACATAAATACTTTTTTAACACGACATTAGGCAGTAATACGAATTGTTAGACATATATTTATATGTAATTCTTACAGTAGAGAGCATCCACCAGTTACTTTGTATGCATTGACAATAGCATTGTTTGATGCCCTAGCCGTATCTCGGAATTGAGTTTCACCGTAAGTTATATCCCTAATTCTGCGGTGACAGTCCTTCCAGAGTAATGCATACAGTTTGGAAATCTGTATCTTTTGTCCTATAAAGAGAAAGATGTGAAGGGTTAGTTATAATGAAAAATTTACAAACATATGTATTGATTATAATGATTTTCATTACCTTTCACAATATCGTCCTTCTTAACTTCGATGCCAACTTTCTCTCCAGTTGTACTATCCGTTCCCACAGTAAAAAGGAAGTCACCGGGACTGACATCTGATAAATTCAGATCTCCGTTTGATTGAGCCTTGAATGAAATAGAAACATTTTTGAGAATTTCCTTATCATTTACAAACTGCCCATGATAAAAGTATTAATAATGTCAAACAAATACTCACGGTTGCGTAAACCCTTTTCATTGGTCGTAAACCACCCCCTCGAACCACGACCATCGCCTCCACATCCATCAACACCACCTTCTTTTTTTTATCTGAAATATTCAAAATATAATTAATTTAGTTGCAGAATTAGTACTTTCCTCCACACCTTACCTCCACCTTCCCCCTCTCCTCCAACCTGCTCCTTTGTAATCTCCTCCCACCCACTCCCCTCCCGAAATCTAAACATTTTTATTCTGTAGAGAATTAATTAATTTTCAAGACAAAAATAAAAACGTCCATCTATTTGATGAGTAGGGTGAGACCAAACCAGTTTTAGCGCTGGTTAAAGAGTATAGGGGTGTTTTGAGATGTTCTGATTATATACAGGTACTCGATGAATCCTCAGCACTTTAAGAAAAGTTGCGACTCTCAATTCGAAATAGTCGTAGTGTTGGAGGGCATCGTGGAATCGACTGGAATGACGACGCAAGCTCGGACAAGTTATCTGCCATCAGGTTCGTTGAATAGTTATCAAAAAATATTAAATATTTAGATTGTCCCTGTAAAAAGTAATACTTTTCCTCAAGAAATCTTATGGGGCCACAAGTACATCGACTTGCTACACGAAGGCGTGAAATATACTGCAAATATGGAATTTTTTCACACGACCTTTCCACTTCCGGAAATGTCTGCTCATTCAGCCAAAGAATTGAAGGAAATGGAGGAAACCGAGTCTGAGATCGTGGACGATCAGCAGCATTGACATTTGTTACCTGTTGTAAAAAAGAATTGTATTTTGTTACACGAAAGAGAACGACGAGCTGAATGTTGGCAATAAAAATGAGTCGGATATTTTTGTAATGATGTCGAATCGTATTTACATTTAATTCATATTACAATGGACCATATAACGTCTGGATTATTACGCACATTAATTACAACACAACATGACACAATAACTGCGTTTCACACAATGCATCGGGTCAGCAGTCTTACATATAAAAACCCAAGCTGACCGATACAAAATTAATTTGCATACATTCACTAACAACTCGGCTGCGTGTTGTTGGTTGGATAAAAATAATAATTTTACAATTTTACAATGGGCTGCCAGACACATTCCAAGTAATGTGTACACAGTTAGTTGAATATCATGGGCACAGCTCATGGCTCCTCGATCAAGATTGAATTTTTATTGCATTTCAAAGTCTAATAGCCCGATATCGTCATCGTTGGTTGTTACCAAGTGAAATTGGATCTTGGTTTACATTCCATTCCTGGACTCAGATACATACAACCATTAAGATTGAACCCTTGGTCAGCATTTTTCTTTGCAACATTAATAATTATTATTTTTGCTATCTATCTTGCTCATTATGTGTGTATACAAGACTTGCTTTCGGTCTGTTGTAAAAAAAAATGTGGCATGTGCAGCAGCAAAGTTAAATGTAGGAGGCAAAGAGAGATTAATTTAAAGGAGAATCGTATCGATATCTATTATTCTACTTTCGTAATTCTTTGCATGATAACCATCCCCAAATATTTAAAGGTTTTTCCATCTTCCATTCGAATTCGAATCACGAACGCTCATCAATCTGTCTGGAGTTGGTCTAACAATGAGCATCATTTTAAACCAGCCTTGATGAGATTAGACGTAATTCTACCCGCAGGCTGACACAATAAGGTGGGTTAACTTTTAAAAAGTTATCCACTGATATCGTTTGTTTTGTGGTGGAATTATTTATGACATGCACGCATCGCATTGGAAATGCAACAGGATGTCTGAGCTCGAAATAGACGACTATCAATCTGGAACGAGAAATGATGGATTACAAGCTAATCATACATACAGTATCGATAAGCGTGTGTGTAATGTAAAAAAATCTTGTCAGGTTTATACCAGAAGTTGAATGTAGACGAATGCATCCACTTTTAAAGTTAAAATTATCATCATCATGGAAAATATGCACATGGAAATAAATTACTTGTGCATTTGACTCCTTTCTTATCACCACCACCTTTGAAGATAATTAAACATAATTCTCTCTCTAATTACTACTGACTGTGCTGCTGAGTTAAGGAGGATGAGCTCAGAAAATTGTATCACGTTCAAATTTCTTGCTATGTTGAAAAGTTGAAATGTGCTCCTGCTGCTGCCTGCAGCCAAAATGAGCTCCTGTCATTTTTATTTTTCCTTGGATCAATCCAATAATAATGACGAGGCATCATTACCGAAGCTATGTGATACTGCGTGGATCAGCTATTGTGTTCGTGGCACGCCGCATCATTGGTCTGGTCATGTACCCCGTCACACAAAATTATGGCATGCATATACATGTGTAGATTCCTTTCAAAAATTCTGATCTGGATTCAGCTCAGGATGATTGATTGTCGAGAATCACCTTTAGGTTTTAGTATTTAGTCGGAGGAATTATAACTTTGAGGTTTAGTCTTCAGGGTTCAGTAGTCCAGTGAGGAGAGCATTATTTTGTCCGGATTCCACATTTCGTTCACTCCGTATTGCAGGGTAAGTAAGTGTATCATCATGTCTACGTCACGTTCGGGGATAATAAAAGCATATGTGGCAGATATGTGACGTAGGTTTTATTATGCATATATTTGCTACTCCTCAGTTTCCGGCCGGTATGGTCTGAAATTATGTATGATGCAATAAAAACGCGTGTAACATATGCAAAAATGTTTCAAATTTTATCGATTACGTAGTAAAGCACGTTGCCCAATTTGATACATTGTACAAAATATATTTCAGGTTTGTTTTCCACCATCAATTCAAAATGTGTGGAATTTGGGGATATATTCTCAAACATCGTGGCGTCCTGTCGGACGAATTTAAGACGAAATTGTATGGATCCTTCTTAAAAATTAAACACCGAGGTCCCGACCGTTCGGACTTTATCGAGTTTGACCTCTTGGTTCCCTTCTTCCTGGGTTTTCATCGCCTCGCCATCATGGACAACACGTCGAACGGGGATCAGCCCTTCGTCTGTGAGTGGCAAGGAAGAACAATTTACACTTTGTGTAACGGGGAATTGTACAATTATCAAAGTTTGGTGTCCAAGTACAATCTGGAGATGAACTCACAATGCGATTGCGAAGGTTATTTTTTAGCAAATAAATTTTATTTCAACTTTTAAAATAATAAGTTATTAAAAATCTTGCAGTGATTCCTCACATTTATAAAACCTTTGGGATCGAAACTTTAATCAACGAAGTGAAAGGGGGAGAATTTGCCTTCATAATTTTGGACATTGACAAGGAAGCCAAAACTCTGACTCTCCACGTTGGTCACGATCCTACCGGGGTCCGACCTCTGTATTACGCCGAGGACTCGGAAGGCATCGCATTTGCGTCCGAATTGGGAGGTTTGGTTGGAATAGTGGAACAGACAAAGATCAACATGTTTCCCCCGGGGAGCTACATGACTGTCAAGCTGGGAATGGATGGGAAAGTTACGGAGCAGATTAAGCAGTACTACAGCTTCGATGCGATACCCGCTTTCAAGGAGCCGCTGGGTGTGGACATCTTTTCGGACAATTATCTCGACGTGGTTTGTCGAAAGGTATTGAGAAAAACACTGTTATTATTTCGGCCAATCATTAACTTTTGCAATAAATGATAGATAAAAACGACATTTGAAACGTGCGTAATAAACATGCTGCATGCAGATCGCCCTTTGGGAGCACTGTTATCAGGTAATTTAAAGTTATTCAAATTATATATGTCGGTAAGATTACATTGGATGTATATTAAACTGAATAGGAGGGCTCGATTCTAGCCTCGTTGTCGGTGTGGCGTCAAAATACCTCCGGGATCATTGTGGTGGAAGAAAGCTTCGTACGTTCTCAATTGGGATGCCAGGTAAATCTATAGACGAAACATTGTAGAAAATTCTCACTGACAAATTAATAATTTCCAGGAGGGACTGATGGTCCTTATGCAAAAAGGGTTGCCGAATATTGCGGCACGGATCACACTCATTTCGAATTGACGACGGAAGACTTTTTGGAAGCTATTCGAGACGTGATTGCAACAATTGGAACATTTGATATTACAACTGTTCGGGCGTCAGTAGGTCAATATTTGGTGTCAAAGAAGATCTCGCAGGAAACAGATATCAAAGTCTTGCTTATTGGGGATGGTAAGTAAATAGGTTTATTATCGTTAAATGAAAAAATACATACTTATATTTGCATACTGCTTTAAGGGAGCGATGAGTTGTGCTCGGGATACATGTACTTTCATAAGGCCCCCAATGCTGAAGCTTCGCATCTCGAGAATTGCAGATTACTCAAGGAAATTGGACTATTTGACGTTTGCAGAGCAGATCGTGGTATCGCACGCCATGGACTTGAAGGTATTTTGAAGTCTTTTATAAATGTTTATATGCAATCACTGGGCATCAAATGTTTCCATTATTTTTCCTACAGCACGCTGTCCATTCCTTACATTCGATTTTATCGACTTGTATTTAAAGTTGGACTGTCGCCTCCGAACTCCCGTTGAGGTTGGTGAAACAGAATTTTTTCGCAACATTCAGATTTATTCATTTTATTGGCTTATTTCAGGGCGTTGAAAAATGGCTGCTTAGAAAATCATTTGAAGGAGCCAACATTCTTCCGGAAGAAGTTCGGGTTCGAGCCAAGTGTGCGTTTTCTGACGGGGTGTCGAAAAAGGAAAAGTCGTGGTTTCAAATCATCGGTGACCAAATGGCTGATGGAGTGTACACGCAGGAGGAACTCATAACTGCGACAAGGACGTACAGCCACGTTCCACCAGTTTCTTTTGAATCTCTGTACTACAGAAAAACCTTTGAAGAATTTTTTGGTAACACGGCTCATATAATTCCTCATTACTGGCTTCCACTTTGGTGTGGGGAAACTAACGAACCAAGCGCCAGAGTTTTGGATGTTTGTCGTGAAGAGTAAATTAATTCTTGTTTGTGTGAAATTGTGGAAATAAATAGCAGAACGGCTTGAATTAAAGAGATTAAAGGGTACATATTTATTACATTTGCGACTGTTGTGACTAAAATTTGAGTACAAAATAAGTGGATTGTGTAAGGAAGCGTTGGTATTGGAACTATTATCCGTCGTGTGAAGTCGAGGTCTATTTTCCATAACCACCCCAACCCCAACCACCCCCACCGTGTCCACCACCGCCCCCGCCGTGGCCACCACCACCATAACCCCCACCATAGCCGCCTTTCCCTCCGCCGTGCCCGTAGCCACCGCCGTGGCCACCCCCACCGTACCCCCCTTTACCCCATCCACCCCCGCCGCCGCCATAACCGCCGCCCCCGTGACCCCCATGACCGCCGCCTCCATGGCCCCCATAACCACCCCCTTTACCCCATCCCCATCCACCCCCACCGCCGCCGCCATAACCCCCTCCTCCTCCGTGACCTTTTCCCCCACCGTACCCACCCCCTCCGTGGCCACCCCCACCGTACCCACCTCCATGACCTCCGCCCCCATGCCCTCTACCCCCACCATAACCGCCGCCGCCCCACCCCCATCCCCCATGTCCACCACCGCCCCCACCGTATCCTCCTAAGACAAAGTAAATTCAGGTCTCACTCTTACTATACTTCTCACTTTGTAATTCATACCATGACCTCCGCCGCCACCCCCATGACCATATCCGGCAAAGACCACTACGCACAATCCCAAGAGACCGGCGAGTATCATTTGCTGTAAGTTAATTAAAGTTCAATTATTAAAATACCATTTTATATTTTACAAGTTCGTACTCACCAATCGATTCATTTTCAAATCTTTTGTAAAACAAATTTCTGAGCCACACAACTTATCCCAGCCCTTCTGGCCAAATGTGCCTTTGATCTCGATACCCCACGGGTTTATATAAGGGCAAGGAGGAGGGTGGGCAAGTCATCAGTGCGACGACATGATTTAAATTACTGAATAATATGTACATACATAGTAAGAGATACCCTTGCATCATTATTACTTCTCGTCGTTGTGTACACAAACCACTTAACTGCTTGATCCATTTGAAATTTTACAGATCAACACTGATGACTAAAACCTTCATTTCATCCGACGCTTGAAACGACGACAGCGATACCACTTTACGTTTAGGTTGAGATATTGCAGCAATTTACATGAAAGTAAAAACAGTCACTGACTGACGAAGGTGTGTATGCATACTCTGATTGGATTGGTACTTAATGAGAATAAGGATTCAGGAAATGGTTAATTGTATAAGAATTAGATAATAATAATACACACGCCACAGCCAACCACCACCCATTTACTTTTAAATACCTTCATTCTTACGAAAAAATTCATCTGCCTAAGTTTCTATCAAACCACATCCAAGGAATCTCTGGTGAATGACGTGACAGAAATAAAGGACCCAAAGTGAAACGTAACTTTGAAAAACAATGGTAAAAGGTTAAGTTAAGGTTTGGTGGTGACAAATAAAGTGAAGATGTTTACAAAGTGATCTGCCCATCATCATGAGAGCCAACCACTAATTACATACGAGTGTACGATTCAAGCGACATTCAAAAGTTTACAATTGACAGACATTTGTTGTTTTACGTAATGACCGAATGATCATCAAACAAAGGTGCATACACACGATTAGATTGCTGCTTGGGTACAAAGTGCTTTTTTGACATTTGGCATATAATATTTAGTAGGTTAAGTCAATTAATGTTGCTCACATCGCATCGAACCCTTTGTTTACATGCATATGAAAATTTACAGGTTATAGAGTCTCACCTTGAAATTGTGTTTAATCAAATATAAACATTATGATACAAAACATACACGAAGCAGGTAAAGTTTGGTCGATCCACATCATCACCGCCACCACCCTATCCATACATTTAAGGAATAGTTAATCAAACAATTTAAATGTGTATGGGAATTACCAAAAATGTTTCAAAGTAAAGTTGAAACAATTAGTCATGGTGGGTGACTCTTCTTTTTTATTTGCATTTACTCCACACACACAAATGCATTCAGTAATTTATTTAAACAAGTGTATACACGTACATATACTTACATAATACATATAAAGTAGAAAGTTAATGTCGTGATTTTATAAGAATTGATTGATGCATTTTTGGTCGTATTTTATATATTTATTTTGCAAAATTTTGAGTGCGTGTTTTTTCATGTGATTCTTGTCAGAGTAAAATCAGAGACTTTAGACAGGATTAAGAAAATGACACAGTTTCCCACTAATGGATGGATGGACATTGCAAATTTCGAGTTGCAAGAACAAATGCAGTTTATAATGTAGAAGACAAAAGTGCATTATTTTAAGTATTTCCTGTCGTTATCACCGTCAGAAAAAATTATTGCACATTAATGCACATTTTGTATTTTATTATAGGTCGCTTTTGGCATGCTTTGTTTTGGCATGACAGACATAGTATTATCGACCCGGATTAAAGTTTAATCGTGCTGAATGCAATCACTTGAAGTTTATTGAGTAATCTTTTTCACATAAACCTTTGTGTTTATCGATATCTTGAAGAAATGCAAATTCTGCAACATGCAAATAGAACATATTTAGTAAGACAAATATTGCTCGATTAATGGTTGAAATTCGAAATAAATCGATGTTAAATGCTATTACAAATAAATAGTTTTTACGAATGGGCCAAGTGTTTCGGGAATTATTTGTACAAACAGTTTGAGCGACAACCAATTAATTAATCTGCAATTTTAATCTGACATGCAATACGACACAACTTGTGTACATAATTGATAATAAAGAATCGTGAGAAGTGATCGGTTTCAGAGTCTGTTTCATTTACACATTCCTTTTAGTTCCACGAAAATAAAATCCAAAGTCAATTTTTATTTCTTAGAATTAAATATTTTTAATCAGGTAAGTATTACAGATAATTGGCACTGTAATTAATAAGCCAATTTGACACAACAGTAATTTCTCGAAGTACTTTTTGCATAAAAATTTATCTCTGATTCGGGCATAATTATAGAAATAATTTAAGTTAATTCGTAACATTTTAAGAGGCACAAAACAATTTTTGTGTAATATCATCATTCTTAATACTTTGTACAATTCGCATCTTTCATCTTGGCATCTCGGTTGTTTTTATTGCACTTCTTGCAGAATTTTCATACCATGCATCTCACTGCATAATGCATCGCAGCCAATATAACCACAATTATACGATCGCAAAATCGCAACACTTGCAATTATTAATGAGGCATTTTAAATCGTTTAGCTGATTAGCATCATAATTTAAAAAAAGTACACATGCTGCAATTTTGTTCATGTCGAGTGGCACGTCCCATTTTATATCTCATCCCCACCTCACGACCTTAATACAAATATCGCCCCTTTAAATCCACGACTACTGTATGCATGCTCTTATAACTTACTTAACCACCCACCCACGCCAATAATTACGACTTTACGAAAAAAATAACTAATGCCTAAATGCAAGCCTAAAACCATTCAAGTTTGAACCACTGATTATGCAATCATTGAGATTCACCTACTAAATGAAACCACAACAACTCTCGCATCACCTACCTAATCAGTAAATATTGGGCAGGCATAACAATGAAATCAGTAAAATTGGCACTATTTGACCAATAATTCAAAAGTGTTGATTGCATGCAAACATTTTTGTCATGTAGTGAGTGAGTCACATACATCGTCGTGGTGTGGGTGCTGCTCTGGTCGTGCTTATTGTTCCGATGGTGGCAGATTATTCCGGGTTGACGACGACGACGACGAGAACAAAACTCCGGGTGCAGACAAAAGCAGTTTTTAGTTGGTGGTTTCATTCCTGGGCAGAACTTCGGGCCGAGAGCATATAGCGAGTCTAATATCCAGCCGGAAACTACTACCACCAGACCACCACCACTAACTACCACCTGCCTGCCTGACTGTCTGACTGCTGTCTACTTTGTATTCTCGTTCAGTCTCTGACTAATAATAGAGTTAAATTAATCGGAAACTATTTCTCCAGGGGGAGGAGGAAGGAGGGGGTGGCGTTTTTTGTACATTTGCTAAAACCAAGCCTTGTACAAAAGTTAGTTTGAGTTGTGAGAGAGAGAATCTGTAGAGAGAGACTCACTTTGTACATATTATATTGGGTTGGAGGCAACAGCGACCCGCCCCAGACTTCCAGACGACCGGAAGGAGCCGAAATCTTTGAAAAAACTTAAATTCAACGATAAAATAGGTAAGTGGGAGTTCCCTCTGGTTGTGTTTTATAACTTGTTAATGTTAATACTGTGTTCATTGTTGATGACTCAATTCGTGCCGTGTTTTAGTATCGTACATAATTTAAGTATATTATTTTGCCTTGAATTTGGATGATTTGAGGAGTTTCTTAATTAACTTGGTTCAGTTATGGGTTAGATTATGCGTTAAACAAAGTTGAATTATTCACACGCAAACCCGAATTTAATTATTTACCGTGTCTTTTTCTTTACAGACATCTCTCAGCCTATCTATACTACCTGCATCGCTTCTCGGCTGGTTGCACTATAATTGAAGCCGACTATCTCAACCTGCACTGCATAGTAGGACGGACTGCACTCTACTTATTTATACTGCTCAATTATTTGAAATTGAAGACATAGTGCATAGGAAACAGTCAGGATGGCTCGCGTAAATTTGACGAATGCCTCATCTTCGGGGAGTGGGAACCGATTCTCGAGCGTTTTTAATAGCAAATATCCCATGAATTACAACCCGGATTACATGACATTGTTCGAGTTTGAAAAGTATGAAGGACACGAAAGCGTCCGAATTTGGATGTATGACCATTGGCAGTGGAGTGTCTACGCGTCTGGGATTTATGTAGGGTTAGTAAAACATATAAAATTAAAGTCGAAACCACCAAGCGAAATAGTTCTCATGAAATTTAAATATCATAAACATTTTTTTAACATAGGTTGGTTTTCGGGGGACAGTGGCTGATGCGAAATCGTGAACCCTTCAAACTGCGAAGACTATTGACAATTTGGAACATTTTCCTTGCCGTCTTCTCCGCCATTGCATTCCTACGAAGTAAGAACATAACACAAGTTTTGGTAACGCGTTCAGAGCTTAATTGTTAATTTAATCGTGAATTTAAAGGTATTCCTGAACTGTTGGTATCTATCCTGGGCCCGAATGGAAGTTTACATAAGAGTGTCTGTTTTCTGTAAGTTTCAAGTTTATCGCAAATATGTTAAACAAACATTCCCAAGTTACATGAAAGGTATTATCAGTTGTAATGAAACTATTTTAATGGTATTAGACAACGAATTCAGCGAATATGGCTCTAATCTAATAATAATTATTGGACATGGGTTTGATTATTAATCTATGTAAGGCAATCGATTGTTCTTCTCAGGCAAGAATAGGTCGGCATAAACAGAATACAATTTTGTTGATTACACGACAATCATGATGAATTTGACTTGGGACTTGTGATAGATCTTATCCGATAGTAGTATAATTATCCACGCAGAAGAGGATATTATTAGGAAGTAATAATCGATATTATTCATTTTATAATACAACCAGCTTAGAATAGGCCGTCGGCTCTATTTGGTTTATGAAAATACAATCAAAGGTTGAACTGAAGTGTAGCATTACTACGATTATATTATTGTAGCTCGGTCACCACAATGGTAATGCCCTCTCACTCTCAAAAGCACAGGATTATTATTTGCAACCCAACCTTATCGATTTTGTTTCAGACACTCGTACAATAGGCTTTATCGTAGTTTATTGTGGAGTGTATGGAGTGATCGTTTATAGTGCAGAATTCTGTCGGATCATTAGAAAATTCAATCTATTATATGCAGTGTGAAAGTACATGGTTATTGTACTCGAGGGAGGCTTAAGAAATGTGCATGCTTCATGGTCATGTTATTAGGGAGTAGTTAGCGTTTATTTAAACTTGATATGAAACTGTACATACTATGTACTCCACAATTTATGAAATCCACTCGCAAACTGGACGCTGGTTCTATGTATCGATTTTAAACTGTGTATAATGACTCCGTTGAGGTCATGGCTCATTTATCGTTCCGTTGCGTGACGAATGAACATACCGTTTGTACAAATAACACGTAATCAAACATTCATGAGGAAGAGAAAGCCCATCCAGTTAAGGTAGGTTAGTCGCCCGGCAGTAGTCTGGCTAGATAGTGAATGTTTGGGTTTTAAAGTTGCGGTGATGAGGTGGCTTTATGTTTATTTTGGCGATAAACCTTGTTTTGTCTGTATACATACAATCATGGGCAGTAAAGTTTTATCATCATATAACCACAAACAAAATGATATACTCATGCAAACTATGATTGATGTGCCGCGATATTGACAAGTTTGTATTATTTTATTCAAATCAATATTGAAATTGATAGATACCTGTATATTTTATATTACTATTCTACTTTATAGCGAGAATCACAACCCGGCTACAAGTTTATGGGTAAGAATATGAATAATTCATATATTTCACCAATCCAGTAAAGAGGAATTGATTTTAATTAAAGTATTACCTTTAATTTTACAGGGCCTTCTCTTTGCTTTGTCAAAAATCGTCGAGTTTGGTAAACACTTAAAATATTTATTGCGTCTTTCGTTTAATCCCATTACTGATGTATGTAAAACAATTGTTTATAGGAGATACCGTATTCATTGTATTGCGGAAACAACCTCTGATATTCCTCCACTGGTGAGTATGAAATAATAAACGCTCTTCATTGTATTTTACATCAATTGCTCGTATTAAGATCTAATCAGAATTATGATCACTAAATGTGAATGATTTAATTGAATTATTTCAGGTACCATCATGTGACCGTAAGTTATCAGATCGAATACAAAATCCACCTTTTTAAATAATACAAATTTTAAATTATACTACTTTTTTCAAAGGTTTGCATGTTCTGCTGGTTCGCTCACGGTAATCAACATTTACAATTTCACAAAAAAATTATGTGCAGTTTTGAAGATGGATGTTTTTAAGAAACTTGTCGTTTATAGGAAGTCATGACCCCACTAGTCGTTGGTTTGCTGACATGAACTTGTTTGTTCATTCGCTGATGTATACTTATTATGCTCTTCGATCGTTGCAAATCAAACTGCCTCAAACTCTAGCTCTGAGTATTACTTGCCTTCAAATTACTCAAATGTTGGTCGGAATTGTGATCAGTTTTCACTCTTACTCTGTCATTGGTAAGTTTGAATATATTTTGATATTTTTAAACTTAACTCACAAGCCGCAACGTTGTATTAAATTTTATTACCTATTATTTTTGATCCACAGTGAGCGGTGAAGAGGTAAGTCGAAAACAACTCGTATTTGAGAAACAGTGTCACTTGTTAAATTGAAATTAATGTATTTTCTTATATAAATTATTCCAGTGCCACCGACCGCTATCAAACATCTACGCAAGTCTGGGCATGTATGCTACGTACTTTCTCCTATTCGCCAACTTCTTCTACAAGGCGTACATGACCAAGTCAAAGAAGAGAAAGACAGCATAAAAGCCAGCTACACCTGCTACCAAAAACTGCGTTTTACTGATCTACTACTCAAGTCAAAACTCCAGTGACCATTACATAATAATCTATGCATAATACTTTCTACTACTGTACGTTACCTTTATGAATGTTTCTAATAAACTTATGGCTTACAGCAATATCACACGTACACACATTATTTATATCCCATTTATTTATGTTTGTCACCTCTATAATATTTTATTTTACATTGATTTATTTCACAAATGACAAATATTATACCCAGGTAAATCGATTTGATTGTGTTACAATTACACTATATTAAACATTATTATTCTTTACATTTCATTTCATCTAGATACCAAGATAATTATCTTATCCTATAGAAATCAACTCATAAAAGTGTACCTTATCATAAGCAATTAAGTTGTAATAACTAATAACTTGTATGAAAGTGAGATTGTTGTATGTATGTATGTATTTAGTTGATAAACATTTTTAAGCAAGAATTACACAACTAAATAAACTAGTTAAATCTTTGGTCTGTTATCATTATGTAAATCCAAATTTAATACCAATGAAGTAATGCTGTTCGCTATAACGTTAATTCACTGTCCTCAGAGTTTTACAATGAATGAGTGCAGGATTTTTTTTGTCGTATCTCGTATATAAATACTTAAATCTTTTATTACGAACGTATGTAAATAATTAAATACATAACACTCCCAACCAACTTTCCCCCACAAGATGAAGTAGGTCCAATCAATATCCATTACCCCAACTGCAACCTGTAATGAGAAGGTGAAGACGACGAAGAAAAGTTTCTTTCTATTTATAATCTATCCATCCCCTGTCCGGTTGAGGAGTTGAGTTGAGAGAGAAAGTGAAACCGGTGGAAGGGCCGTGTAGCGTTTTATAGCGTAGTTGTAAAATAAATGGATGGTTTGGTTTCGTCGTGGTAGAGGTTAAGCCCCAGGAATTCAACGGTTTAGCAGGTTAAGAAAGATGAGAGCAATCTAAATCCGAATCCCAGAAGAAGAAGAAGGAATGTGTCGCCACCCACCACCACCAAGAAGTCTGGCCTGAAGTGAGAGGAGGAGGAAGGGTTGAGCACTGAGCAGAAGAGTTGACAGATGGCTTTCTCTCGACGCCGACCCTGCAATTCATTATGCAACCACACACCACACTTAATCTCAATACTTTAGCAAAACTGCATGCAGCATGTGGGAAAGTGAAACTTAAACTTTCACTCGTGAGGTTTGGCCTAAGATGAAATTACGTAATTTAAGAAACGTCCCCACACTCAGGGACAAGATTAATATGAGAATGCAACTCCTTGCAAAAGCTGCAACTAATGAGCACCACCATGAGCGGGGAATAATAATAAGGAGGACGGAAATTAAAAGAATTGAAAATTAGTGGAAAGAAACTGCAAGTGGAATCAGTAATGAGGTCTTGTGTAATAGTTTTTCTTAGTAAAATTACTCCAGTTATTGCATATTTGACAACTTGCCTCTCGAGTCGGTACTGTTCGACGCTCCTCTTAGAGGATCAGGCACGCCACCAAAACTGGAGTAGGATGGCGCTCTCGGTTGAATTTTAATGACCGTGGTTTCCATATACAAATCGTACAACTCTCCTATACATTTTATAAACATGGGTGAATACGAATTAGACACGTTGAAAATGAGGGTCGAAAATGTCGACGTCAAAGTCGCGTCGGAAGGGTCCTCCGTCGTACGGGTGAGAAATTGTCGAACTGCAACCTACATAAATTTTTTCGAGAGGTTAAAAGCACATTCACACAGATTATGTAATAACGAAAACCATATGTACGTTCAACGGGTTGACAGGTTAATACTTACATGTCGTGAAATATATATAAATGAAAATGCGTGATTAAATTTGGGGACGAAATATGTATTATCGATATTATCGATATCCTTCCATGGCTAAAAGTACAGACTCTCCTTGTTTATGAGAGGTTATACTTTATGTGCAAACTTTTTGGGTTAGTTGGACCCTGAGTTATTTGGAATTGGGTGAAATGGTTGTAACAATCTCGGAAATTTTGGGAGAAAGCAGAAAAAAAGTCGGTGATATTGGAGAAAAGAATGAGAACGAAGTACGGAACGAGAGTTGTGATGTACTTACTTGCTTGTCGTTTATTAACCAAGAAATATTGGCAGGTGGAAACGTTTTCTCGAGAGTGCAATTGGCTTCCCCAATTTCCCCAGGATGATAGGAGAGTTTCGATAGGAAAAGTTTCGGAGCGTCATATCCAACAGCTTGATGCACATACAGTTCGTGAAATTAAAACAAATGGGAAAAAAGAAAATATCATGAGTATCAGATGAAATTTCGCTAGATCTACAAGACACAGCGTTGATCGAATCAAGTCAATACTCGGATATATGTGTGTATGTACTTATATCCGTAGATTTGCAATTTATTGGTCAGCACATAATCCGCCTGAAATTGGCATGAAATGAACATGAACACGAATACATTGGTATTCGGGAAACCAAATTCGAATTAATTTGCAAACCTCATTATTCACTCCTTCTTGAAATTTCAACTTTATCCAACTCACTTAAAACTTTGTCTGTTAATTAATGCTTTAATAACGCCAAGTTTCTTTCAAACCTTCTGCTCGGTAAAGCAGAGAATCAATTGCAAATCTTGGTGGGGAGAAAGTTGCAACTTGTTTCAAAGTTTACCACCAAACATGGACCGAATTCTAAATTTTAGCCAACAAACTTAACCAAAAGTCTAATTTGACTCATCATCAAACAAATCCTTGCTGCTTACCCACTGTGGAGATATTTTTTGCATCCAACTTGGTCTGAAATGACCCTTCTGCAAATATAAATTTATTTCAAATTTTAGATTCCACAATACGGAATATTATCGAGAAATTATATACCTGCCGAAACGACGCATTTAAATTTACCTAGAGTTTAATCACCAATTAAATTAATGTATATTAATTAATTATGGTTTGCTGTATTTATTTCACCTTACCTCCGGTTAACCTTGAAGCGTTTTGCAGTATCACATTATGGTCGTCCGAACTGTTCATCTGCAACCAAATAAAAGAACCTTGCTTATTTTTGAAGCATTCATCAATACAAATTGAGATTTTTTATATAAATAGATAAATACTTTCTCCTTCGCTTTCTCTTTTTCGACAGATATTTTAGCCGATAAGTACCCCGGGTTCAGCTTATTGTTGCTTGCATACCGTCTTCAAACCATTCAAACTAAAGATGCCCAGAGTTGAAAGGGTTGAAGTAAAATGTAGATACTCGTTAAGTTAATGCAGTCTTAAATTTCCAAAATGGCCAGTAGACTTCCTCTCACCCGCTTTCTCTCTCCCCCTGAACCCTTTCCCTCTAGGATATATTATCATACACGCAGATAAATATTTCCAAACAGATAAAGTTCTGGGCGAAATTAATTCTTAGCTCTACGAACGACGGGACGCACAACCATCCGATTCCTTCCTTCCGTTCCGTCGTCGTCCTCCGTGAATCTCGAGATCATCACTTAAGAGGAAGATTTAGAGGAAAGCACAACTTCTCACAACTAACTTACCAAGTCATTAAACTTCCAGGATTTCTCCAACTATCTACGAACGTATAAACGTACCATGAAGGAATGCATGCACCCAACCTTGGTCTAAACTATATCGAAATACTAATAAAGTTTAAGAAGCAGTCGCCAAGTTTGGCCGAAATTAATGCTATTTGTACACCTATTTCCGAGTTTTCAGAGATTTTGCAAATTCTCAGGAGCATAAATGACACTTGGCAGCTTATCTTGAGACAGATTCGCATATTTTCTATAATTAAGTATTCCAAAGTTGATTGCAGTTTAGATTTGCAGTGTGCTTTCTCAAGTATTAAGTGCTGCTCGACCTTAAAATGGCAATTATAATTCCATTGCATACCTACCCCCACGACTCGAGATTTACTTAACTTTACCACTTTGAAATCTGGGACAACATGTGTTACGGACTGCAGTACTACCTACTAGATGTATATATATAGACAGTTTATTATGTATTAAGATTCTTGCTTATTCAGGTAGAAGATACAAATCAGGGCAAGTTTATTACAAGCCTAAACCCAAGCAGGGATTAATTACCTAGCAGAAAACTTAGAGGAGGCTCCCGTAAATACTTTTACTCTAATGCACTACAGAAAATCATTACGAGCCTTAATTGCTTTCTCTTCTTTATATAATGCATACGTTTATTCTGAGCCGTTCCCATTTCCTAAAAACCTGTTTACTTCCTTTCCTCCAATATTTATAGCGTGAAGAAAAAGTCAATCAATCAAGCGTCCAAAATTGTTTTCGACAATTCCGATTGAATAATAAAACGGAGATGCACCTGACTTCGTTTTTATGCCCCGTTTCCTGCAGTTCATGCACCTTCTTTCTCCTTCCTTAAGACATAATGGGCACGCAGACAAATAACTTTTTTTGCCTTTGTTACAGACAAAGCGCTGATGAAAAGAGAAATGCAATTCAACAGAGAAATAATAACAATCATCAATTCACTTTAAAGCCCGATCCAATACTTTATTGGGTGGAATGGAATGCTACTTAAATGTTCCCGAGAACTTATTGGTCTTTGGTTGGCAAATGAGAAAACCGAATTTCTCCTCCTAAGTAACGGTTCTCGGGATCGGAGGGGAGTATTTTCTTGGAAAGTGAAGTTGCAAACATAGGTTAGCAGTGGTTTCTAAAACTAACTATTTACATCTCTCTGCCAGTTTTACCAATTTTCTCAAATTAATTCCAACCGAGAAAGGTGAGTACTTTCTCCAAAAGTTACTGCATACTCTCACCTCGTCCCACCCGCACTTTATGTATTGCCATTTTGAATGAACTTTTGGCTTGTACAAATCTTTGTTCCAGTGGCAGGCAGCAGACCATCATCATCATCAAGGTATCATCATTTCCTTCATTAAGGCACAGTCCATTACCTTTAAATTGAATTTTGCCCTCTCCTCCCCGCCAGCACCTTGGCCACCAGACCACCCCCGAGAACAAATGTTCATCTTCAACGTTCCTCCTCTCACTCACTTCCGCTCTCACTACTCACGGACAAAGAAAAGTTGACTGCAATAATAATCCACAACGTGCTCCAACTTCCATCAAAGTACAACTTTTTGACTTGACTTTCTCTCTATTACGCTCCGCCGAATATTGTTATGAAGACGAATCGAGCTCATTACGAGGATTTTGTTTTTAGAAATGTGGTTTCCTCCTCCTTTGTCTCGAAGGAAGGATGGAAGAGAGAAATCTGCACGTAAAGTGAGTTGAGCCGCTACTTTGTATGTATATAATTAAATATGGAAACCTTCCTGTTTTAGGTGAAGACGGAGAAGAAATTGTTTTATTTTGTATGCACATACGGACAGAACAACATGAATAACTCATTATGCATTCTCTCCCTCTCTCTCGGAGGACCTCGACCGGCATTTCACGTCGGCGGAGGAGGAGGAGGAGGAGTAACATGGCAATTTGTAACTGACTCTGTGATAATTCCACTTGATTTATTTATGTATATTATTACATTATCCCATGTTGCTCCCTACGTGTCTAATATGTTGCTGTTTTCGAGTTATATCGTAATAACCGACTTGAGAGCGACTTTTCTAACTGAATCCAGGTTTCTCTCTTCTTGAAGATTATTTTAGAAACGTGCCCCACCACAAACAAAGACAAAGGAGAAAAGGAAGGGATTGAGCTTTGAGCTCATTTTTTGGATCGCTTTTGTGAAAGCTTTTTTTCTCGTGGTTGGTCGGATTTGGTTTGATCAGGGCCAGATTGAGATGAAAGGAGGAGGAGGAGGAGGAGGAAGACAAAGGGAAGACGATCAGAGGAAATTGGTAAATAATTTGATTAGAATCTCTTGATTCTGATGTTGATGATAGGAGGAGAGATTCAATTCTGGGAAATTAACTTTTTTTTCTCTCTCTCTCGACTGCTCCCTTGCCAAACACACAGTTTAACCACAAACTTTTCCACCACATATAGACTACCAGAATTTGTGAGAGGAAAGGATATGTCGGTTGTGTTAGGGAAAAGTGTTCCGGTTATTTGGTGACATTTAATCTATCGGGAATGGGAGTAATGGCAGTGGAGAAAGATAAGTGTATGTATTATAATTTAGGCCGCTTTTGTATGTATACAGATTACGTCTAATTTAAGGTCCTGATTAGTCAATTAGACGAAAAGAGGAAAAAGTTTTCTTGATAAGTAACTTTACAGAGAAAACCTCTTTTCTTAAATGTCCTTTAATCCTTGATGACTTTTTGTGTGGGTGGATGTGGACTTTGGTCAGTTCAGGGGAAAAAAGATGGTTTGAATTAGATTAGAGAGGAGTGGGTTGGGTACACGTATTGACAATTGTAATAATGCAGTAATCAAAGGAGATAAGATAAGATCGATGTATTCGATTGTGTGGAAAGTGGTATGTATTGTTTACTTTCCAGCAAATGGAAAAGTCAAGATGACAATGGTCCAAACCAGAATTGTATGCAAACCAGTCTGACGAGTTTTGTTCATGAATAGGATTTATTACTCACACAGTGGTCACAAAATAATGTCAGTTGTCAACTGTTAGCCCATTTGCATCATCAAAAAAGTTTCGTTGATTTTTATTTATTTTTTAATATAATTTGAAAATTGAAATGGAAAAATTTGCCGATGTCAAACCGCAGATTGAGCAGGACGAGTTGCTGCTCTACACGTATTATCGAAGTTCGTGTTCCTGGCGAGTGAGAATCGGTTCGGTTAAAACATGAAAAAGTTTTAAAATTTTATTTAATTTAATTAAATTTCTCCTAAATTGAAATAGCCTTAGAGTTGAAGGGTCTAAAGTACGAAATTGCCCCTGTCCACCTATTGAAGTCTGACCAAGTAATTTTGCATAAGCTTTCAATTAAGACAACTTATTTAATTTGGAGTTGATTTAATTTTGACCAGTTGAAACAGGAGTTCATTAAAGTGAGCCCACTCGGACAAGTGCCAGCTTTGGTGATTAACAAGAAAATTGCTCTTGTTCAGTCGGTATTTAAAGAGACCTAAATTACAATTATTTACTATGACTCTTGAAAACATTAATTGCAATGTTGAATTATTTTAAGATTGCAATTATGGAGTGCTTGGAGGAACGTTATCCTGAACCAGCCTTGCTGCCGAAAGATTTGCATAAGAGAGCAACCGTAAGGTGTGGAAAATATAATTTTGAAACGACACTGGTAAATATTATCAGTTTTCTCGTAAAGTTATTTTGAACACAGGGAAATCTGTGAAATCATAGCATCAGGAATTCAACCCCTGCAAAACTTAGGAACCATGGACAAAATTAGCGATGATGAGGACAAAAAACTTGTCTGGGCTCAATACTGGATTCACCGAGGGTTGACAGGTGTGTTTAAGAAAAATATGTAGCCAACGTCACACACCCACACAGAACTACTTGCATATTTATAATATGCAAAACCCTCGTAAACTTTTGCAAATTAAATTTTAGCACTGGAAACGATCCTTAAAAGCACTAGTGGATCGTGCTGTTTTGGAGACGATGTCACATTCGCCGATTGCTGTTTGGTCCCACAAATCTCCAACGCTCAGAGGTTGCTGACCATGTCAACTAGCAAACCAATTTCATAACCAAAAAAATATGCAACCTCAAATTACGCTTTATTTTGCAGATTCAAAGTTGATGTCACTCCATTCCCAACACTAATGCGGATAGATAAGTACTTATCCACCATTCCGGCTTTTCAACGTGCCCATGCTTCCAAACAACCAGACACTCCTCCAGAAATGGTCTCAGTACTGTAATCTCCAGACGTCTTATTTTTGCTCGTAATAAATAAAATAAAATGAGACAATTGCCAACTTTGAAATTGCATCTTGCACGACTTAAACCCAATTCTCGGTTCTATTTCTCACACTAAATATGCATAATCAATTTTGCAATTTGTCCCGTCATCTCTAACTCTGGTCTTTTCATCTTTAAAAAATTGGTACAAAGTTGTTTAGAACTATGTTCCATTCTATCCAGCTAATGTACAGTTTTCGTCCCCGCGTTATTTTCTATTCGCTCCCTATTACCACTCCAACTTGTACCACGAAATGTTTCCAAAAGTCGGAATCCTTAATAACATCGTCATCATTATTATGTGCTTCCCGTTGTGTAGCAAGTAGCCGAATAAAGCTAAAGTATTCTAAAATTCAGTCTTTTTTTATTCCTCCTTGTCTCCTCCAGCCGCAAGTTTGAAGCATTTCAACATTTGTCGTTAACAGACTACATACAACAGAACAGAGAAAAACAGGAATGGACTGTTATTTTATTATTATTATTGCTATTACAATAATAACTGCATTTGTGTGGTTGTTCGGGTGCAATTTATTTCCCTTTTTGTCGGCTCTTTTTAACTTGCTCTCCTCCTTTGTGGCTGGTCGGGTGAGCTACTACCATCAGCGTCGAGGGTGGAAAAGTAGGAGAGAAAGTGTAACGCTTTCTCCACGACATTTTCAACTTTCAAGGGCTTCAACTTCACTTCATTGCATTATTTTTTATTTTTTTCCTGCGGCGGACATAACATAACTCTGAAGATGAGAAACGTAAAAAAAGAGGAAAAAAACTGCATGGTTGTGTGGTCCGAATCGGTTTGGTTACTTGGTTTCTAGTAAAAAAAAAAAGACCATCATCACATCACACGCACACGTGTACACATGGACAAGAGAGAGACTGACTCACTCACTCTCTGGCTAATAAATATTTATTCCGTCGATTCTCATGGTGTGGTGGTGCGGGTCTAAGAAATAAATGATGTTTCCTCCCAAAACGCCTCCTCTCCTTCCGCCTCCCACTTAAAAATGTCTTCATCTCTCTCAGTCAACACGGGAATAGCGGACCACACACTTTCCCAAAATTTGTTTCATTTTCCTTCCCGTCTTTGGGAGGAGAGAGATGAAGAGAAAACGGCATTGTTTCAGCATAAAAGGAAAGTTGGATAATTATTGATGTTTTCAAACTGTTTTATACAATAATATACATAATGCTACACTGTTACATATCTTTTATATAGGTACACGTTGCAGATACTTTTGTCTAAAACTTTGTGATACATATGTAGCTGGAAGCCTTTATCTTAGGTGGTGCAACAGAATAGAAATTCATGACAAGCCAGCAACTGTCCATCTCACAGATTCCAGCTCAGTTTCAGAGTTTCGACTTGACAGGAAGGTGAAAGCCCGTTGGGGCGCAACAGAAATAACAATTCTCTTCTCTCTCTCCGTATCGTGTGAGAGGTTGGTTGGTTGGCTTTATTTCAATTCTATCGTCCACCAACCAAGGGCAGAAAAGGTCTCGATAGGAGAGAGGAAGGAAAGAGGTCAGCTTTTTGAAGCCTCCCGTTTCCCGTCTTATTGCCAAGAGGAGGGAGAATCTGGTCTCTTGGACGACGGCATAAGCCAGAGGGAGACATGTCACACCCGATTTCAATAAAACAACTCGGATTAAGGGGCAGACAAAGTGGGAGAATTATATACGTTGTGAAAATCCATCCATTGAAACTTCTAAATTGCTTTTAATTTAAATATCAAATTTTTCCTGGAGAAAGAAAGAGAGAGATCTATGGCATCTGACTGAACCAACCAACCAAGTTTCCTCTCCTCCTGAAGAACACGCTCAACTAAACTCATTCGCATTCTTCTCAAGGACTCAGGTCCCATTATGCACAGGATAGCAAAACAATTTTCTTTCTCCTTCCACTCTCCAAACCATTCCAAAGTTAATCGCTTTGTAAGCGTCGATTCAACTCCACACTTTCGGGCATAATTCAATCCTCACCTTGTACAAAAAGCGGTGATCGTTGCATAATCGGAGGGACGGACGGGAAGGAATGAAAATATACGTATGTGCAAGTGGAGGGATTATCATCGTCCTCTTCTTGGTGCACAACACCCTTTCAACTCTGTACGTATGAAGCCCTGTTGTTACTCTTGTTAACAATTGTGCCCTGTCAAAAAATTCGCCAATTTTCAAATCCCAGCGTTGAGACGTACCTATCACACAATTTATTTTCCCCATCGTAAAGGTGCTCAGAGTCTCACACCTCCCACACACACTTGCCCCGAGAAGAAGAAGACGTTCCGAATCTGCATAAGAATCTGCATCTGTTGTTATTACAACTCACTCTTTTCGTAAGAAGAAGAAGGGAACCAAATTTCTCCAGGAGGGAAAGTTGGTTGGAAGTTGGGTCATAAATCTTGCGGGAAAGACAAGAAGAATGCTCTCCTTATTGACTAAATAGAGCATTCTTCATCGAATTTTGTCTCTCTCACTCAACTCCCCCTTCTTCTTCTTGTGAAGACTTTTAGCCTTCCTGCCTGAGGTTCTCCTCCTCCTCCTCCTGCTGGTTATTATACACTATTACATATTACTTTACAGGAGAAGAGGGAAGAGCGGAAGAGGACCAAGAAGCTGGGTCATGCCGGGAAACTTTCTCCTCTCTCTGGTGGAGTATGTGGAGTGTGTGTGTGTGCCCATTGAAACATAATCTCCTCTCTCTTCCTTTCTCTTGCTTGCAAAAAATTATCATTTTATTCTAACTTGATATCCAGCCATTAAATTAAATATGCATGAGGCATGTCATCAATTACAGTTTTTTATTCGAATAAAGAAAAAATATGGCTTCTGATTTAGACCAGGCTAACTCTAATGTGGGCCAAATTGCTGGCTGCTGCCGGACCTGCGGATTTCTCTCTGGATGATTTTATTCCTATGGACGTTGGTTGTTGGGTGGGTGGTTCAATCGAGAGATGGATTTGCCTTCTGACACAGCCCATTGTCTATAAACTCACTCTATTTCATGGTAATGTGAGTGGAAGGTAGCTTGAAGGTAATTGCTCACTCGTCGTCATTACACAATGCGAGGATTTGAATTTGACTAATGCCAAATCTGGAGAGTGGCAGAGCTAGCAGAGCTTGGGTTTTGTTTCACCCTTGGGATTTATTTACTCGTTTGTCTTCTTGTGGGCTACGTGGGTACAATGTGTGCATGTAGGTAGGTTCGAGTCGAGTGTGGGAAAGCTACAATGGGCCACATGTTAAATGCTAAAAGCCTAATTCAATGGATGGATTGAATCTGAATTAACTTCAGAAATAATGGATTAGCCGAGGTTCGAAATTGGGATGGAGTTGATTCGCGATGGGAAGGAACAAGGTCGACTTAACTTTGAATTAAATTATAACAATAAGAAGACCCTGATGTATCGTAAAGTTTGTCATTTCAAACAAAATTTCAAAAGGTATGTATTTTGTGGGCATACACGTATGTACAGATTTTCATGGTTTGTGTAATGGAAAAAATGTTGGTGAAATTTGTCAAGCTTATTCCCTAGCAAAACTGGCAGAATGCTGGGCAAAAGTAGTTATTGCGGCCATTTTACTACCCATTAAACGTGCCTTGATATATTGGCTCGTGGTTCCGTACGTTAATGTTAAGGTGAAAGTTGACATTTCTCCTAAATACGGGAAAGAGAGGAACGGAAATATCGTAATTGATGGGGTTGGCAAAGGTCTATTTTGCTTGTTGAACAACTAAATGTATTTTACTTCGGGCTCTGCACGTTCCACGGCAAAGACAATATTTTAACTATATGTACATACATCCCGGGTGCTCTATGATTTTTGTGTAGCCACACATTTTAAAGTAATGAAACCTTGTTCAATTTAATGAAAATACTACATTCCAAATGGTGAATTACGAACGGACGGACACGACTTTTTAGACGAGACAAATTATGGATGTCCTACCTCAACGGCAAAAAAATATATAAAATTAGCAATAATATTCTTCTGCACGTCTGTATCAGTAACGAGGTCAAATTGACACGAGTATGGAGCAAGTGTGTGGAGAAAGTCCCTTAAGGGAAGGCCGTAACTCAGGATGAAATAGCACAGCAGTCCCTTTCATGCTCCTAATGGGATAAAATAAAATAAAATAAAAGAGCCACTAAACTGGAGCTAAACGCAATAATTGTGGTCTATATTCCCCATGGGCGCACCACACCGCAATTCTTGTGTTGTGTACCTACATACGTACGTAGGAAAAAGCAGGCTCGCACGAACCCAAGGAGGCACAGATTTCGTGGCACAAGTGCAAACACCATAAATATTGTATCCAATGAAGCAAGCCATGGATTTCACCGTTGGCCACACGGTCAATTAATTTGTTATGTTTGAAGAGGGCTGGCTGAGTTGGATGGATGAATGTAATTCATTAATTGGGGAATTGTAAACTGGAACACAACTCACGTCTGACTACCTTCTGCTACCAATCCCTTCTCCGGTGCGTACTAATCTTTCAATCATTATTATGAACACCGTGGGGAGTTTTATGTATGTACCTACGTCTCAAAAGCCCGACACACTTGACTGGTTGAGGTTATTTCTGCCGTGGTGTTGCTACTCATGGATTTTGAACTAATTTTGAAAATACATAAATGCACTAGACTTACCGTGTTTTGTCACTTTGCATTTATTTTGCTTGCGTAAAGCTGGATTGCATAACTATGTATATGTACTATGTTGCATAATGGTCAATTATAGAGAATGCAACTTTGTATAGGTATACATTGCATAACCTGAAAATCTATGTATGTATACCAATGTACTCAATGCTATATAAAGTGACAATTTAGACCAAGATCGAGTCATGAGATGTCTGCATTAATTTATAATTCATTAAAACCACAGTACAAAAGGATTTAGCTTACGGTTATTTGTATGAAAAAGAAAAGAACTCGAAGGGTTCAACTAGCCAGTTGAACCTGCTTTCAATCGATGATGCAGTCGTCGGCTGAAAGCATTTAGCTACTTACTTTCAAGGAGAAAGTCACATGAACAGTTTCGCCAATGCAGAAAATACGAGGTAGACAATAATATGCAGCACTTTTGTCCTCTTCAATCTACCATTTTCCAAGATCTACATAAAAGATCTTCAAAAAATTCAGGCTAGACTATTTTTTATGTATGTACGATATAAGCAATAGTGAAAGTGCATATGTTTGCGTGTGGTAAGAAATAATAGAGAAAACCTTAGAAAAACATGCATTATTTCATTTGAAGGAAAAACTAATATTTTGATAAATCATTCCGTCTCAATAGCTGAGCTCGATCCACACGTGTGCGGACTGCGAAAGGAAGTCTCTCAAATGATGCACCTCCCTTTGCACGGAGAAGAAATAACAAAACTTTTTTTTTCTTTAGGAAATGAGGAAATAAGAGAGAAAGTGAAGCAGTATAAGTCAAAGTGATGAAGGAAATCACAATAATGTCGATGCATAACGAGACGTATGCTCATTCGTATTACTGCTTTTTGAACGAAATACCTACAACATCCGAACCAACAAACAACGGCAAAAGTTGAATCCAAAGAATTCTCTTAATTAGATTGGAAAATGTGTCCGTTCCTTCGATCTGGAAGTAAAGAGGACGTCGCACTGCATCACAAAATGTACGAGCTGTACAGCTGTGAGAAAATGCACTTTGTCCGAAATCAACGACCAGAATTGTAATTACCTACTTGATCCTTGAGCTCTTCTCATTGTCGGAGGATTTCTAAGAAAGCAAACACGAGCGAGAAGTGCTATGCGGTTTACCAAGTTTGTCGCTGCTTCTTCCTCAAGAAGGTTTCCAATTACGACCGGAAGGGTTAAAATAACCGGTACATTGACTCAGGTTAATTGCTGATCGCTATGCCAAATGAGTTTCCCATGATGTACAAATTCCAAAATATATCCCATTCCGGCCAAAGTGCAACCAGCTAGATTATCATAAAGGGAAAATGCTTACATAATAATGTGACTGAAATAGACTCTGCAGTTTGAAGAGTGACAGTATAACAATAACAACAACACGATTTATAATTATACGGGTTACTCCATGTATAATTCATGGATTACAAAATATACGAATATTCAGCAGCGTAAATAGTCAGAGATATCAATAACCTTTGATATCTATGTATCCTGCGTCAACATGTAACTACGCATTTTAGCGGATTGACGGTCAACATTGGGCCCAACTGTGTACAATTATTATAAAAAGAAGTGGGTGATTGTTGGGCGAGAATTGTCCTGTTCTTCTCTCCTCGTCCATATTATCATCATCACGCTTCTCCAGTAGCCAGGCGAGCAGATGAAAGTGCTCCAGTTGAGACTGCTTTCATTTAATTTCCAGCCCTGTGGAATGCTCCTAGCAGCCTCTCGCATAGACAAAGTAGCACTGGATTGCTTTGAGCTGACCCAATTTCATTCCATCTAATGGACAAGCTCATTTGGTTGTAATGGAAATGGAGAAGTGAGTTCAGTTCAGTTTGCTTTGCTGAGTGAAAGTGTCTTGCTTTCTCCCATTACATGATTTGCTTGGCTTGTGCACTTTGTGCGTGAGCCAGCAAACGAGTGAGGACTCAAGGTGGCCACAATATGTACGGGACAAACACACACACACAAGATGTACGCACAGCACACATTATTCAGCATGACATGAATTCTTTAACCATCACGTAGGAAAAGTGGGAGGCCTAAAAATACCCAAAGTATTTTTGCACCGCCACAACATTCGAAATCCACACATTCGAATTGCTGGAGCAATCCGAGTAAACAGAATCAGTGAAAGTACAGTCCAGTAAATTGTTGGATTAGATCATCTCCAGAATGAAAGGAGACAGATGGAAGCTCAGCAGCTCTCCTTCCATCCATCTCATTCCTCGCGGATGTGATATACATTTTCAACCAGCTCACTCACTCTCATACTCTCCGTTATGTCCTGGGTCGTAAAATTAGGCACTGTGAGCACAAAGAAATAAACAAAGTACCCTGGGCGGATATATTTGTACGGATATATTTGAGCCATTCATACGAATCGAGCCTACACAAAGGGAGATTACGAGCAACACAGTCGTTCTGTTTCAGTCTTGGTTCGGTTGAAACAATGGGACACGAGAAGAAAGGAAGTGACCTTTCTCCTCCTCCTCCTCCCTTCGTTGTTTTGCTGCTTTACTCCGAGTCTCCCTGATGACTAAACAAAGATTTGCCTGCTGTGGTTTAGCTTAGCTTTACAAGAACAAGTTTCCTTCCTTCCTGCCACCTTCCTCTTTGGTTTCCTTCCTCTTCACTTTCTCCCACTTGCCTCGTGTGGTGGTCGCTAAAACGGATGGGATAAATAATGAGGGAACTTATCAACAGTCACGGTCTGTGGCATGGTGTGTGGTGCCATTCAAGAGTGGGAGAGATAAAAGAAGAGGTTGGGCTGCACCCTCAACACTTAATCTTCACTTGATAGTCGCCGCGGTCAGGTTGCTTATTGCATGTGGAGACTCTTCTAGACAGGTTTAAGCTTCAGTCACAAGGACGAAGCTCGCATTAGAAACACATCGGGCTAATTGTCTCCTTTGTGTAATACGCACAGCTGCAAATTATTAGACCAATTTCCTCATCTACTTTTCTTTCATGGAGCTCATTATGCTGCAGAGGAGGCCGACAGGGTCAGCAGAAGAAGAGTTGGGTATAATTCGCAGTATCATTATTGCGATTAAACTTGGCTCTTCCGCTCTTGGAAAATTCGCAAAAGCAGAGAGCGAGAAAGTGAAAGCTGGAGAAACATCCTCCAATTTAATTTCCCTGATAAACATTCCGACAAGAAAAGAAAGTCATTCATCAGGCTGGCGTTCGGTTGAATTTGAATTCGCTTGATGCACCAAGGAAGCAGCACCACTGCTCCAATTTCCCGATGCCATTCCGCCTACGTGGCTGTACATCTATCTAGAACACGAGGATGAGACTAACTAACCAGTAAGACTGAGGGGAAGCGTGTGGCTGAATGAATGTACATCACACTGTATTAAAGTTTCATGTGGAAAAGCGAATGCCATGCGAAACCACTCTCATTCTCATCTCGGACTTTCACTGCACTGCATTTATCAACCCGATTCGTAATTTAGTCCCTGTATGGTCCATGGTCGTGGTGGGTGGCATAATATGTATGAGCCGGAATCCTCATTTCTCTCTTTCCCTCCTAATTTTTCAGCTTCTTTTTCAGCTCCTGCATTTCTAACAAGTTTAGTTCAAATTAAGTTGGGCCAGACTTTTATGAAAATTTAAGACTGGGTGAAATAAATTGATGAAAATTAATTCCAAGAAGGAAGAAACCCCTGAGTGACTGAGGAGATGGGATTGGTGATGCAATTTATAGGGAAAATTGGGAAAAGTTGGCTTTTACCTTCCAAGTAAGTTTGTGATATAATGTCGGATATGAAAGTTTAGTCGTCAAATGATGGGATTGAAGTCACTAATTTCAAGTGTTAATTTGCATTTACATACTGCAATTAATTGTTAAGATTCCTTCATTTGGTGGCACCATTAGCATTACTGCGATGGCCTGACGTAAGGACGGCGATGATGGCAAGAATGTGTATGTGTGGTCCAATTTTATCTCCTTTTCGCCATCGTCGTCGTTTTAATTCTTAGTTTTAGACGAGCTTTCTGGTCCCCGTTAATTATTCTTCTCATCTCACATTCGGGTTTTCATCACGAATAAGGGAGCCAAGCACAACTTCTTCTCGGTGGAGAAAAGACAATAAAAGTTGAAAAGTAGAAATTAAACTCTGAATTTTGTAGGAATTGCAGAAACTAAAAAGTGCTGGAATTCACTCCTAGCCAGAGTAATTATATAGTACATATTCGCAGTTGAATATAGTCGAATCCAACCGACAACAAGGGGATCAAGGGGAGATGGAATTAATTAATTAATTATTCCGTAAGGCGTACATAGCACCAGACAAAATTTCGAAACGCGATATATTTCCTTCACCCCACGAACGACCACCCATTGTTGCTTCGTCTCTGGGTTCGAAATCTCTTGGAGCTTAGATTCTCTTCTATTATTCCATTTTATCAACTTCCACATAAACAAAGTGAATGCCAAGAAAGAAGACAGAGGAGAAAACCTCAATACATTTATTAGTGTAGTGTATGTACATATGTACATACTTATGCACAGGTATGAAGGGACTACATCCATACGTCCACCCACTTGCAGCTTTTGCCTTTGTTATTAAATAGGATTAGATAAACAAAGTAGACCGAGTTTTTGGCTTTGAGCGTTTTAACCCAGTTTGAAATTTTGTGAAAGGGCGAGATGAGATGAAAAATTAAAAATTAATTCGACTTTATCATGCAAACTGGGCAAAAGGTTGAAATAATCTGGCTTCCTTACATCGACCACTATTCCGCTTAACGGGAAAACTTGTTGGGCTGGCACCTCTTTGGGGATCTGCAAGATAAATAAATAAAATGTCCAATTAAAATTAAACACGGGGAGAAGTATGTATGTAACCTGAAAAATTAGGTATATGAAAATTCGGCCAAAACTTACGTATCGATAAAACTCTTCCGATTCGCGATACCATTTTAAAGCATAGAGCGACTCCGATTCGGTATCGTAGTTGCAACGTAGCTTCAAGTTTTCGCCACGTCGGACATAATTTGGCCCTTGAAGTTGGACGTCCTTCAATCCATCGGAACCTGGGTAAAGAAATTCAATCTGATTTTAAATTCGGTCGAATTTATGTCTTGTTTAGCATCGTTTTTCTTGTTTTCAATTACCCAACAATTCGAGAGTGACACGGAAAAAATGAGGGCTTGGAATTTAAAATGAAATACGTATGTACATACAGAAGCGTATACGTCGGATCGTGTAAGTAAAGGCTGGAACTCATTTAGACGTAAACTTTATGGTCTCCGACAACTTTAATGTTGCGTGTAATGAACCAATATGGTGAGAAGGACGTGATTACTACTCGCATTTTTATGATGTCATCTTTCGTGTAAAGAAGCACATTTGTGGATATGCGTATGTTGAATAAATTCGGTACTAAAATTCTAGCTTATAGATACTCATCGCCGTCACCAAACCAAGAATCTGCATATTCAAGGAAAGACTGGTAGTCAAGTCACTACTAGTTGATGAGAATCCTACTTTCGGAATGGCAATGATGTATGGAAAACTTGCAATTGAAATTAGAACACCTCATCTCCATTGAGCCGTGGTCGTGGTGGTGAGAGAATTTATAGACCATAATTAATAGTCGTTTTCTTCTCTTCTCTTGCTAAACCGGAGGAGGAAAAGATTTCATCCGGCCTAAAACCGACTAGAAGATTGATTGTGACATATTGAAGATTTTGTCTGAGAATTGCAATTTTCTTCAAAGATGAAAGGAAAGAGGGTCATTTTCACCACTGCTGATTTATTACCTTACAATTTTTAAAACATTGAGACAATCTGTTATCCCATCCTATTTAAAGTGGTCCTATCAATGTTGTACCACCACCACAATTTCGCGTCATAAATCATCCCTCTCGTAAAATCTCCAAGAAGGAACTCGGTCCGTTTGACTTGTCATCATCATATTCTCATCCTTATTTTGTGGGGACGTGATACTGGTGTTCTTTTCATTATAGTTTTTTTTTACCCCGTCATCGTCGTCGAGGGTAAGGACGGAGAACGTGCAGAGAGCATTTCTTAAAAGTAAAAACCCTGTTAACTTTTATAGTTTGGCTTCTTATGTAAGGAGAGAGCATGGAGGAAGAGTCGCGATTCGGGTTGAGACACTCAACGCAAGATTTGTCAACTTATTTCCCTTGGTCTCCTGTGATGGTGGATGAGTATACCCGCGTTTCTCCAGGGTCCCAAAACTATTTACTATATAGATACCCAAGCTAGAGATAGTACTACAAGTGTCCAAGTACTGCAGTGGACCAGTTGGAGCATAGACATTTCGTGAAAGAAGAAAGCAAGTGGCAAAAACAAAGACAAGTTGGAGCAACGGCAAGTAACTTCTTGTAGCTTTCTCCATCGTGAGTATTACGCAATGCACGTGAAGCTAGTAATAGTCATTTTGGCTTTATATACATTTTCCTCCACCTCTCCCAGGCTGCAACAAGCAGCCAGATAAGATGTGAATGCAACACATAAATCAAAACGATATGGTCCAATAGCCAAACCAAAACCGAAGCCTGGCTTGCTCCTCTCGGAAGTCTCTCAGCTTGGTCAAATCTTGTCTCGCTGGTTCCCCTTAGAAATAAAATAACCGTGTAGACTAGAAACGGATAGCTATATGCCACGTCTGCTGGCTCTACGGTTATTACGAGAATAGATGTGTTATTCTTCTTGCCAAAATGAGAACTGGCAGGAACTCTGCTCGAATTCTAAATAATGTAGAGAAACAAAATTCCAAGTTTTGCTAGGAATGGAGAAGAGGATGTTGTTTCAGAGAGAAATTCAATTCCTCTCTCCGTCCTCCTCTCCCTGACAGAATCTCATTTCGTCGTGTGGATACGTACGTAGGAAATTATTATTGGATCTGTTTTCAAAGCGAGAAGAAGAAATGAATCAATCCCATGCACGTGAATATGCAGGTTAGAATTATTCCGAAATGCAGCATCAAAGCATACTTTTACGTGAAAAGGGTGCCATTTTTACGTATAACAGGTTTGATAGGGAATGATCACATTTCTGAATTTGCAGCCCCTATTCAATTCCTACGTAAGCATATTATAGATAGCAACATGTGTCTTTCCCATGAAACAGTATGGGAATCGTCATCGAGAGAAAGCATTCCTAAGCAAACTCACCCACGCAGCTTAGCCATGCATTTGACATACTGGACAAGTATCGGACATTTCTCCAACGATAACATCCACTTTGGAAGTTGGAGTTTACTGAATTCTGGAAACTTTGGAATTCTACCCTCGTCTCGAATCATATTGGATTGTAAAGCAAACCAGCCAACCAGCCAGCCAGCCAAGCATGGGGCTAACTTCTATTCAATTCTGACATGAGGACAACAGCAGACGGTTGACTTTAGTGGGTTGTGGTCTGATGTTGTCCCAAAAGTGGTGTGGCGTCATTGCGGTGGTGTCGTAGAGAAGTAGCACTGGTCTTCTCGTAAACATTCAGATCAGACCATCAAAAAGAGTCGGACCGATGCGAAACCCATTTGAGTTTGATGTGAGTGAGTACATGAAGAGACAGCCACGTCACAAGCCAAGCCACCGACTTCGCAAGGGCAGCAGGAACTGGAAACCGATTGTGAAACCAATTTCCCCGAAAAAAGTGCACCCAGCGGCAGCTACCATCGTACCAGTCCCGATTCAATATTCAATGATTCAGTGTGATGCAGATGTTTATGATTTCGTGTTCTGGGTTTGACAGTGCATTTACAGCTCACAGAAGGATAATAAAGAAATTTCTTCTTCCCTCTTATTGCCTCGGAAGAGTGAATGAGAGGACAAAATTCGGCATGGAAAAAGGTGGAAAGCATGTTACCGACGTTTAATTTAATATCTTGCTCAATTTTCAAAATATTTCGGACACAATTCATGCGAGATTAACTTTTCTAATAATATTGCAGTAAAAAAATCTAAATTGAACACGGGAAATGTGTGTGCGGCTTGTGGCTGTGAAATTGACTGCTGAGTAATCGCACTTTTCCACTTTTATGAAATTGTTGCACGGTTCAGAATTCTGAATAGATTTCTGTCTCACAACATTCAGTATGTGCTTTTACATGGAAGGAGTAGGCAAAAATTCAAGACGGGAGAAGAAAATCCCAAGGGTCCATGTTTCATCTTATAAATCAAAATCTTTCAATTTCTCAATTGTGGCAGTTTCCTCTCGGCATGTAAATAGGATCATTTGTAAATAGATGTACCGTACCGACTAGGAGGAAAACATGTGTTTTTTAACGGACGTTTCCCTTTTCCTCCCCTTCGTCCTTTTACTTATTTCCTGAATCCTAGCGTCGTCTGGATACACGTGCAAAGTTGCGGGGTGAATTATTGCTCTGGTGAAATGAAAATGCTAATTTACTTGACAGTGATGCTATAAAAAATGTGTTCTTGTTGGAGAGTCACACTTGTTGGGAAGTGTACAAGCATGATAAAAATTATATTTTATGTTTCCACAAATTAGTGTCGACTACATAGTTTCAATGAAAATGTCTCATCATAATCCCACCACTGCCGATTTTAGGATCAATCCAAGTCTTAATTTCCGATCAGGATTTCCACATTTTGTGAATCCTAGATTTCAGATTCAGGAAGAGACAGATTAGGCCTAATTCGGCATGCATGAGAGAAGAAATTCTCCGTAAAGTAAAGAGTAAAACTGATTTTAAACTATCCTCACTCCATGTCAAATCCACAACCAAACTGCCGAGTTTCCGCTGAATGCGTCCTCTTTCAACGCTTCGTCACCATCACGATGCAACCGCAGGACGACCCTTCCTTTTCCTTCTTCTCCTCAATCCCGAAGAAGATTGAACAGTTTGTTCAGCCCCAGTTTTGAGTTGTGGTGGTCCAACTAAAAGAGTGTCAAATCCGAAATCTGCTCCAAAATCTATCCACTGCTCGCTCCCTCGCTCGCTCGCTGCTCGAGAATTGAGTGAGGTTGACAAATGACCTAGCGATTCATCATGTCACTCTTCCATTCATCGTAAAGTGGTAATCTAATGCCATCTAATGCCAATGTCGTGTTTCCTAAAAGAGGACCTAAGAGGACCCATTCATCCCACGATTTCCTATAAAAACAGGAACTTTGCTACTCCTCCTCATCGTATGCGTATGTACACACCAGCTCCGCAAATTTCGAGGCAGAGAAATAAAGAAAGAAAGAAAAGAAAGCAAGTAGCAACTAAAAACTGGTAAAGCCACCACCACCACGAGCAAGACTACGACCACCACCAGGACGCAGCAGGATAAACGAAACCACGAGAAGGAGCAGGAAATACTTATGGATGGATGACGAAGAAATGGAAATGTCACAGTTCCGGCTAGACGAGGCTGATGCCCGGGTAGTGGGAGGTAGGTGGTCGTGGTGGGAACGACGACAGGGCCAATGCCAGCTACCTCTAATCCCTTACACAATCTGACATCACTCTCCAGAGCCAACACCAAATCACTCTCCAGGCGAGGTAATGCCAAAATTATGTATATGAGAGAGAGCTTCTGCAACCCCTCTTCCCAGAACGGAGGACATTCATCCAGTTCTTCTTCTTTACACAGTTCGTATTCATTTATTTATGATGAACTAACCCTTTCGACATAATGTTATATTAACCAAACAGTCGTCTGCTCAAATATGTAAAATGGTTGCATAAAAGTTTTAAAAATATATTTGACTTATATAATAAAATGTTTGTTCGCTTGAATCTGGGGAATCTGCAGATTAATTGAGTTACCCAATTAAAAGTGGGATTAATTAAGGACAATGAGACGCTAATTATTAAATTGTGAGCAAATCTGAAACGGATATAAGCTTGGAGAAAGTTGGGTTACCAGTCTCTCTGTCATTATTCACTGTACCACCTCTAGTTTTTAATTAGATTTGATTGTTTGCCTTTGGGAATTAATTGGTACTTCATTAGTCTCATCGTGATCATTGCCCTATATTTTAGCGAGTTACATATTTCCAAGAAATTTAGGAAATCCAGCCAGGATTAAAACATGGCTGGATTTCTGAGTTAGATTTCTGGGAAACAAATTGCATTGACGCCAACAAATACATACAAATTTTTAGAGATACATAGTTCTGCTCTTTTGCCTTATTTAAACGACATTCCTGCTCAATTCCAGTTTTCAGGAAGCAAATATCTGTTCATGGGCAACCTTTTTAAATACCCTGCAAACATTTATTGGCCGAGTCTAATATTCCTTTAACTACGTGCCACATTCTGCGCCCGGATTCCCATCCAAGTTTTATTCATGTTGACATTTTCCCGTGCTCACTGTTTGGTTTTACTTTTTGCTGCCATTGGATCACATCAGTCTCCAATTTTATGTAATGTAATGCAATGCTGCTGCTTGCCTGGTGAGGAGATTTTTTTAGCATTTGGCTTCCCTCAGCCATCCTGAGCCTAATACTTACATAACACAGACTTGGTCCTGCCTTCATTTGAACTGCAAATGAAAATATCTCTGTATAGACAGAAGAAGAACAAGAAGTAGAAGTGAAAGCGGAGCCAACAACCAGGACGCCGTTTTGCTTACTGCTTCTTCTTGTTCCTCACTCGCAAGAAGAAGAAGAAGGACATTCGCCACAAGTCCTGTATCGATTTCGACTTAAGACATCAATCGATCTGACGTGGCTTAGGAAATTGAATTTTTCTTTTTAAAAAAATTTCTCGTGCCGAATGTATTTCAACAGCAGCAAGAAACGTCTTCTTCTTCGTGAAGACACTACGTCGCCATGCATATGTATTTTCTGTAAGTGCGAAACTGAATAAAATACATAGTTTGGGTAATGAATTTTAAGTATGTGTGTCTCACAAGAGTTATGTTATTCATGCCTGTCCTAATCATAACGCAATAATGCAGTTGAATCTGCAAGACTGGGTTTCGAGATGGGGAAAAGATCGCAACATCGTCCAGTATTCATCCCAGTAGAAATTTTGCCAGAAAATTGCTTACTACTTACCCAAGACATGTAGTCCAGATATCCAGACGAGTACGAGAAGAACGGCTCTGTTGTACCCAAGTCGTGCTGCTCCCAATCCGATTCTTCTCCGCTCGTCAAACAAGGGAAAGTTTGAACTCTTCATTTTCAGTACCGTTGTTCCTTCACGAAGGGATGATGATGATGATGATGGCAATGATGATGACGTGAGAGACAGGTTCAATTATTAATCCAATCCTGGGCTGCAAGAACTTCCCAAAAACGAGGATAGTCTACTGCCACCAATTTTTTTTTTTTTTACAGATTAATAGAACAAATTGTTTTTGTTTCTTGGTGGGAAATACGTCAATATGCCAGTCCTGCCGAGATCTCCATCCAACTCGCAAATCGTAACGAAGAGGGATTTAGTTTGGGACGATACTTTCTCTCGTCGACCGTACAGTTTTGGATTTCTGTGGTTGGTAACTAATAATAACGGTCGAATTAACAGACGGGTAAGATGAGCTATGTTGCAAAACTATGTATGTCTGGAATTCTCACTCCAACTTTCACTCGTTATTACTGCTGGGAAAATTTATAGTGTCAAATTACAAATCAAGAGAAAGTACAGAATGGCTCACCACGCTCTGGTCTGGTCGAGTTGAGTTGTTACTTATAATTTCGGCTTGTTACTTGTTAACTAGTCAAGTGGTTGTGGGCGACTGAAACCAAAATATCTTCACAACACGAGCCAACAAATGTTGCATCCATTCAACTAATTGCTATCTCTTTTTGGGCTGATTGTCAACAGGGGAAAATGTGATTTCCGTCAAGCAGTGTCAACTCAATTCTGTCAATATTAACACTTTCCTCAAACTGACAGCAATGTTTAATGGTATCTATTGTTCTTTCTGTATTCTATTTTTTCTGTGTCACCAGACCATGTTCAACTCGTGTGTAGTGGTTGTGACAATTTGTAATCATTGCATCATCATACATCCATGGGAATGAGGGCGAGAGATAAGAAGAAGTCGGACTTTGACTGTGGACGCAGAAAACGGATCAGAAAATGATCTTTGTCTCCAGTTACGTTGACGTCGAGAAGGAGACAATCCTACCAAAAACAGGAGATCATGTTCATGTTCTTCACAAATATTATTACCAAACTTTTCCTCTCTGCTCCTTCCCCAGCCGAGTTTTGGCAACGGACCAGCCAACAAGTCTTCTATGGTGGGTTGGTCGGTGTTGATGTGGTTTTCTCCACACAAACCACCACTCCTACCACTACACACCGTACGTACGTATTTGGTTGTAGTGAAAGTGAGTGAGTGACTGAGTGAGCGACGTAATAGTCAATAGTCAATCCAGAAACATTAGCACGGACCGGGATGGGATGAATTTCTTTTATTGTTATCTTCCTCCAAGTTTGCAACAACTAAAGTTTTTTTTACGTATTCTTCTTGTTGATATCAAGAGAGAGAGAGAGAGCACGTTGAACTAGAAAACTGGAACAGTTTCGAGTTGCAAATTCTTAAAGTGAGACATTTTCGGACAAATTGTATGTAAACACACCGGTGGAGAATTGGCTTATTTAATTTTTTTGCATGATGCTGATTGTATTTTGTTAAATGTCAAATTATTTTTGTATGTATACCCTTCTGCTCGGAATAATTATCCGAGTTAATCCTGCCTTTGACTGACGTTAAGAAATTGTAAAGGTGGCGAAGCTGACGACGACGAGTGTTGGGATTATTTAGGAAGTAAGTTTGAGATTCAAGATGCTCGCTTTCTGGGCTGTGAGCCCCAACTGAGACTTTTTCCCAGGATGAAATCCTCTTTAATACACAACACACACGGAGGAGAATCTTGCCCTGCTTGGCTGGCGTGTGGCATCCTTCCTTCGAGACAGGCAGGGAAAGCAGCATCTTTCTCATTTGCTCCCCACCATCCATTTCAAATCCATCTACAGCTTCACGGTTCAGGTTTCCTCTCCGCTTCTTGCTTCACCAAACAGCGGCACAACCAACGCACGCACTTACCAACCACGCTCTACCACCCAACCAAATAGCTTGTCCAATTGCACAACACAATGTCAAGAAGCTCAGGACTAAGTGAGATTAAAATTATGAAGGGTTCAAAAATTAAAAAATTATTTATTATGCAACCAGAAATTAATTTAAGTAGCTCGAAATATTATAAGTCTTTGAACTGCATGAAAAATTATTATGTAAATAGATATGAATTAAAATAATTAAGAGATGCCGTCGTGACAAAGGGAAAGTTTGTGATAATAAAAATATTGACAAGAAAATCCACCCAGATTTGATTCCCTAGTTTTGTTCCTCTGCTAAAAAATGACATCATTCCGTTGACGATGTCAATCGATCAAGTCAATCTCAATGGGATGAGTGAATACGAAGTAAATGAAAAATGAAATTTGTTTCTGATCTTATTTCCGTCCGTCTCTCGTCTCGTACAAATTCTGATTCAATCCCGACTCCAAAAATCGTTATCGTCTCTCTATTTTCATTTGTAGAATGGGAATAAAAGAAACAGGAAAAAATAAGAAAAAAGCTCATAATTACCCGGCTTCAATAACTTTGGAAATTTTCTTCTTTCAGTCTTTATCATCATCTTTTCCTCCCCTTTGAGCTATTTGCTTTATATCTGCTTCGCTTTTTTAGACGACTTGACTCACACTCGGGCCAAATAATCTCTCGAACAGATCAGCAAAGAAGAAGGAAGGATTCGCTTATTTACGAAATAAATTGATCATCTCTTTCCATCGACGACCTTATTTCTCGTCTTTTTGTCTCAACGACGAGACTCGATTTAATATTGCCAATTGCTAAAAAAATCACAATTTTTTGATAAGAAAAGTGATAAATTGAGGAATTTTCTCTCTGCGTATTCAAAATTCTTGTTCTCCTTGAACATAAATAGCAGTAATAATAGATCCCAGCAGACGACTCAGAATTGCTTCGTCCTGCTTCCGGAGATGAGTTGATGGCGTGTAAAATCAAGAAATTATTTAGGCACTTCAACTTTACTTCCTCCCCAGCAAGTGGTCCGATAAGTGAGGAGATAAGAGTTCACACTTTGAAAAGCAACAAACAGAATAAGTAAGAGACCACCATTCACCGTTTTGATTTCGACTTTCTCCCCATTGTCACAGGGCACAAAGGGGAGCTACGTTCTGTAAATGCACTTGTGGCGACTCCATCGCTCGCAGAGTTCAGTCAGATAAACGATTGAATTGCATAATGGGTTGGACGGAATTTGAAAGTTCACACGGCCAAAGAAAGCAAGCCAAGTGCAATGCTGATAAGTACACTTGAAGAATGATGTTTAAGGATTGTTTGGATTTGGTCTGGTTGCCGAGACCATGAAAACAACTTGAGAAAGATTACAAGAAGTGGGGATTGTTGCGGTTTCGCCACTCAGACTTGGCCGTAGATTTAATCGAATGATTATTTGGTGCGTTTTGATTGGTTTTGGACAAAAAAAATATTTTATCGTCTCGCTCTCTAGTTGATTTTTTTTACTTTAGAATTTTATAAGCTAGAGAAAGTTTGGTTTTTTTTTGTTGTGTACAATTTTGTTGGAGATCTGACAATCAAGGGGCAATTGCGACACAGCTTTCTGACTCACCTTCTGGCGAAAGATGTTTTAATGAATTATATTTCCTGACACAAGGGTCGCATTTAATAATAGTCAGTTGAGTTCCATATCAGAGAGAAAGTCTATTTTGTGTCGGAAAAGGCAAGGTTGAACTCGCCCACGACTTGTTACGACGATAAACCTTTTATACTGAAATTCTGGCCGTACCGTTATCTCCTCGTGCGAGAGCCAGAAATATAATATAATATTTCGAGGACGACGACGTAATTACGTGGGACGAAGTTAACTCCTCAGTGACAAAAATTATTATAGTAAAAGAGGAACAAAACTAGTTACAAGGAGTTGAAGCAAAAATTTCCCATGCATCACATAAACTTTACTCACATTACGACTACGTTAACACATCATTAACATCACCAAGTTATTCATAATATAGTAATTCTGGGTGCCACATGGTTCCAAAAATGTTACTGATCTTGCAGAAGAAGAGTCGGTCTCACTAAACTAAACTTTCTCTTATCTTTTACGTACAATCGCGAATGGCAGATTTCGCAGTAATGAAGGCAAGTGTCCTAAGGGGAGTAAGAGAAAGTGGTCTTTGATACCACGGTTGGACTAATGAGTAGCCTGACCACCCAGTAATACGCACTTGATAAACTCGTACCAAGTGTAGATTTAATTAAGTAGCTGGTAAAATGGTGGCAGGATGAAACGAGTGGATGCAGACCTTATTAAAATTCATGTTTTGTACCTTACTTTGTGACATCTCGACTGAGAAAATTACCTACGAAAGTGAAGTAGTAACTTGGAATGGAGAAAGTAGTGACTTTTTATCTGGGCTGAATATGTACTACGTATGATGATGACGATGAGTGAATTTCCGGTTATTTCCTTTCCCAGCTAAAGATCACGAGTACATTGTGCATGGTGTGGTCGGCTTCAGAGTTGAGTTTCAGTTGGGTGGTTGATAAGTAAATCGAGGGCATTATTCCACTCGACAGATTTCACTGAGCCTTGTCTCCTTTTTCTTGTAAATAATTAGGAAACTTTTACTTCAAAGGACCCATTTCCAGAACATCACGTCATAATAACAACCAACCCCCTGCTGGAGGAGTCCCGTGTTTAAGTATTTATAATTCTATGCTTTCACGTGCCATACTAATCGTAAGCCTGGTTGAACTTTCTCTCTCGTCTAGTTGTAGAAGCAAGTCAAGTTTAGATGGGAACCCCGCAGATATATTTGTATGTTTATTGGCAGATTAGAAAAATAATAATTTATCTTATTTCCAGTTCATGAGGTGTAATGTAATTCCTAAAAAAGTGCTACACACGCTTATCCTCACTTTCAATGATATGAATCAGGTCTCGTTTTTTTATTTCCTAACCTTTGAACTAATACGTATGTGTACTCATGTCTCGTTCATTTATGTACAATAAAAACAAACAACTCAACGTAACCAGGTTCACCGCAAGAGCCACCCCATTTTTCCCACAGGGTGTGGTGAAAGTTGTCGGGAAAATGTGTAAAAATGGAAAAATTGGAGGCGGATATATTTCCACTCCATTTGTCCCATGAGCGAAGCCTGCATTAGTCGGTTCTTGTACCCCGTCTCCCTTGATACAATATACACGTACGTAACTTGTGGTGGGGAAAGGTAGTCGTTTTTCGTAATCCATAATATACATTTTCTTCTCTCCCGATTGTATTATTGGTTTGCTATTGCATCCGGTCGGATTACATTATCCGCAGTATTGCAACATAACGGATGACCTTTCTACACCAAATGTCAAAAACCATCAGTCCATTTCAATCCCTCTTGGATTTGGTGGGGTCCCTTTTGTGAGTTGACTTATTCCCACAGATTTATTTCCCGTTCAGTCAAAGACCCGGTTCGGATTGATTTATCGCAATACTTCTCAATACGCAATACTTGCCACATTACTTACTACAGATTTCCCAACTTTTTCCTCCCTTATTTTCCCCACAAGAATAAGTTACGTAAGTATTTATGTACTCCCACTCCTGGTTTGGTGGACTAGCAGAATTAATTGTTAATAATAGCGGGATATCTATATTTAGAATGGTAATCTCCCCACGGAATACGTTATCAGCTCATTTTAGCTATGCGTAACAATGCAAGATAAATTAATTTCGCCCACCAAACCAGGCCAACTTTTTTTTCTATTCCTGACAAGACTTTTTTATATTTCTTGACGTTTTGATTTTGATGCATTGCCATCCAGCCCAGCCTGGAGGAGAGAGCAGATGCCATTCGTCAGATTTTTATTCGGAGAAGAACGCGGCTTATATTCCATCTTGACATGTCTACTTCTCGGTTTCTGTAAGCACTTATTATGTCAAATTGTACCCGACTCACCTTTCACTTCTCCATGTCCACCACTTTCTTTCCTCTCCTCCGCCCACCCACGGCGGCGGTCTGTGAGGAAACCGCATGCAACGTTCCTCGTCTGTCTCTCCATCACGAGAATAATTTCTCTGTCGTGAGATCACTTAAGCAGAAAATGGAATAAAATAAAAGACCAGTGTCACAAAGCTGTCAGAAAATTAATACATGAACTTGTGAAATATTGCGATTATGTAGTAGGAAAAAAATAGTAGGAAGTAGCGATTTTATTTCCAAATAAAAAAAAATTGCCCTACTTATTTTTACATAAAAATCACAGGCGGAGGGTCAGTAGGAAATAGAAATGTGTAGTAGATATATAGACACATCCCGTTTGATCGAATTAGCCAAAAATATTTTGACGATGCAGAGACAGAGAGAGAAAGCACTTAAATACTTACCTTTCTTTAAAACCCATCCATCCATCTACAAAAGTAAAGCCGATGTCAGTCTTTCTAGCGAGTGGACAATATTCACCAGGCCGGATTTCTGAGCTAAACTTGACTTTCTCTTTACAAACTGAATGTCAAATATAAATGGTGGTTCTTCTTGTGTCTCTCTCTGTTTCCTAGAAGGCTCTCCTCCAGAGAGAGAAGTATGACGTATTGAGGACGTAGGAGACTAAATCGGATAAAAATCTTCTTGGAACGCATGAGAGAGATCGAGTCGTCGAGGCACTTAGATACTTTATTTTGTACCCTTTACACAATTTTAACCCTGTCAACCCATCAAAAGTATATCCACACTGCAGGTAGGAAGTAGGAGCTAATACGGAGTGTCATACACTCTTGG